GCTTTACTCATGTGTACATGTGTTGAAGGCCAACTACTTGGGATTGAATAAGCTATCTGAGCACTGGTTTCTGGAGGAAACTGATTCTTTTTTAGTAGACATTGACCATCTGCAGCTCTCTTCATCAAGGGGTGGGACTGTGTGGAATTGCCTGTCCACATTTCATGGTATTGTCATTATGTTGGTCTTGTTCAGTCAATGGCTGAGAGTTCATGAGTGTATTTGCCCTATCGTATTGTCTTTTACCCCCTCTCCCATAATGCACAGGCTTAGGTGTAGAGCTCACAATGCAGGTGTGTCAGCAGTGGCTGGACAGATGAGCTTGTTGTCAAACCCAGTGAGCTGATATCCATCCCCATTGTCACTAATTCTCTGAATTCTGACCAGTTGTGGATCGGTAATCATCTTCATCTGTTGCAAACCATTGCCCAGCAACAATTTTTTTTATAATTGAACCCAAGTCTTCTGGAAGAGCAAACAGCACTTTTTTTTAAAGATTTATTTATTTGTTATGTATACAGTGTTCTGTCTGCAAGTATGCCTGCAGGCCAGAAGAGGGCATTATTACAAATGGTTGTGAGCCACCATGTGGTTGCTGGGAATTGAACTCAGGACCTCTAGAAGAGCAGTCAGCACTCTTAACCTCTGAGCCATCTCTCCAGCCCCAGCAACAATTTTTTTTTTTTGGTTTTACGAGACAGGGTTTCTCTGTTTTGGAGGCTGTCAGTCCAGCCTGGCCCCGAACTCACAGAGATCCGCCTGCCTCTGCCTCCCAAGTGCTGGGATTAAAGGCGTGCGCCACCAACGCCCGGCTCCAGCAACAATTTTTTAATGGAGGGTAATAGAGTAAGACACAGACCTTTGGCCTCCATGTGCAAGTACTCACCCATAGGAATACACACATAAGCCAGGTGGTGGTGGCACACACCTTTAATCCCAGCACTTGTGAGGCAGAGACAGGTGAATCTCTGTGAGTTCCAGGTCTGCAGAGTGAGTCCCAGGACATCCAGAGCTGTCACACAGAGAGACCATCTCAACACCTACCCCCCCCCAAAAAAAAGAGAAAAAAAAAGAACACATACCACACCACACCCACGATGCTCATTTTCCATTTGGATTATAGCATTTGATTATGGCGTGTCTAGGGTATCTTTTATGATTTTGTTTTGAGAATGTAGAGTCTTTTGACTTTTTTTTTTTTTTTTTTTTTTTTTTGGTTTTTCCGAGACAGGGTTTCTCTGTGGCTTTGGAGCCCATCCTGGAACTAGCTCTGTAGATCAGGTTGGTCTCGAACTCACAGAGATCTACCTGCCTCTGCCTCCCAAGTGCTGGGATTAAAGACATGAGCCACCACCGCTTGGCTCTTTTGACTCTTTAGTTTATTGCTTCTCATCAAATTGGGAAGTTTTAGACTATTATTTTTTCAAAATTGTTCAGTCCTTTTTTTCTCCTCTGATGAATGTCCCTCAGTATGTGTGTGCTGTGACCCTGACATTTGTCCTACCAGGTCTGTGATCTGATTGCTTGTCTTCATGCTTTTACTCTGCTTTCCAGACTGATTAATTTATACTGGCTAATTTATAGGAATCAGTTATTCTATTGATGAGATTAGCCAATACATTAAGTAATTAGGTGTCTGTTAGTGGGTGCCAAGACTGTTACAGTGTCTTGGCTGTTAGGAAAAGCACTGCAATGAATATGGAAATCTGGGTCTCTTATGGCTTGACTTCATTTGAGTATACAGGTGATTGTTGTTTTCCTGTGGTTCTGCAAGAATGTTCTGCTTTTCCCTGGCACAGGAGCTACTTATTTAAAAGTCCCGATTCCCACTCAGGGCAGTTCTCAGTGATTACACAAAGGGTTTAATCTGGGTGATTTTGCCTACCTCCAGGCTGATGGGAGTGCTTTGAGCCTGTGTAGTCTGTGATGTTTAGTCCTTTAGAGAGGTGAATGTTTTCTGACGTGGACTTTTCAGTAATGTGCATTTCAGGATGTGACCCCATCCTAATTAAGGGAGCATCAGACATTCAGTAAAATGACAACTGAGTAGCTTTTTGATAGAAACTATGCTCATTGTGTCAGTTCACTGCTATTTAGTTTAGAATTTAAATTTTCTTAAATTCTGGGAGGAAGATAAGAACTTACTTTCTGAAGTCCTTGCTAAATCTCCTACTTGGGCACAAAGAATTTTTCTTGGTGCTTTCTCCATGGATGAGCCAGGTTTTCCTTTTGTTTCCATGTCCACTAAGGTTTGGCTAAAAGTTACTATGCATGGATAAATAAATAAATCTTAAAAAAAAAAGCAGTTGGGCATTGGTGGCACACGCCTTTAATCCCAGCACTCGGGAGGCAGAGGCAGGCGGATCTCTGAGTTCGAGACCAGCCTGGTCTACAGAGCTAGTTCCAGGATAGCCTCCAAAGCCGCAGAGAAACCCTGTCTCGGGAAAAAAAAAAAGCTAAAAATAAAATACACAGTCCACTCCAGGTCCTGTCATACTGTTCTGAGGTTGTCAACTTGAATGGATTCTTTTTTCAATTAAAGAAATTATTTTCACACAATATATTCTTTTTGTTTTTCCAGGCGTGGTTTCTCTGTGTAGCCTTTGCTATCCTGGAACTCACTCTGTAGACCAGGCTGGTCTCCAACTCACAGAGATCCACCTGCCTCTGCCTCCTGAGTGCTGGGATTAAAGGCGTGCTGCCACCACTGCCTGGCTCCTTAGCTGTTTTTCTGTTTTGTTTTGTAACTTACTGCTTTTATTTCACTAGGTGTTATGGATCTGTTTAATTTGTTGACTTGATCTTGATTTAACTTTGGTATGCCTTATATATAAAGAATTTTTTATTTTAGGTTTTCCAGTTTGATTATAGATTTTAAAATTATGATTCTCTGTATTTCCTCAGTATCTGTTGTAATGTTCCCCCTTGTCATCTTTAAATTTATCAATTTGCATCTTTCCATCTTTTAGTTAATCTGGACAAGGGTTTGTCAATCTTTTGATTTCTCAAAGAGCCAACTCTTTATTTCAGTGATCCTTTGAATTGTTTTTGTTTCTATTTCATTGATTTTAGCCATGAGTTCGACTAATTTTTGTTATCTACTCTTTTGGGTGTGATTTCTTTTTGTTACAGATCTTTCAGGTGGGCAATTAAGTTGCTAATATGAGATTGATGTGTTCTGGGCTACTAAGGAAAATGGATGGGGAAAAAAAACAAAAGAGAATAAAAGTCCCCAACTAAGTGAGGAAGGTTACGTGATCAGAAGCCCAAACCCACGAGCAGCTGCAACAGCATGGGCAGCTGCTCCCTTAGCTCACAATCGTAGGATGTGCCCTGGCCGTGGAATCCCAGAGCACAGATGTGCCAATTAATTCTACCTAGCCATGGGAACTCTACTGAGACTTGCAGTCTCGGGGTTTTCCCCCCTTCTTCTCAAGGCCTTCCTTGCTGATAACCTTTGGTATGCTAAGTAATCTCTGTAACCATGGGAACCCTGCGGACTGGGACAAGCAGACTCAGGACTTCCCCCAACCCCCCTTTATTCCTTAAAAGTGCCTTACTTTTGCGACAGAGTTGAGCCCTAGCTAGCTGGTTTTCTGGAAATAAACGAACCTTCTTGTACTTGCATTCAGTGTCGTTAAGCTCCTTGAAGCCTTGGGGTCCTCTCTGAGTGGGCACACTTGGGTTATGAACTTGCCTCTTGGTTTCATTTTCATTCAGTTCTAAAGACACTTTTATTTCCTTCTTGATTTCTGTGTTGATCCATTTTTCATTCAGTAGTGAGCTGTCCCGTTCCCATGGGTTTATATACTTTCTGTTGATACCCAGCTTTAATCCATAGTGGTCAGACAAGATGCAGGGTTCTGGTGGAAGCATTCTGTCTTCATTGCTCATGTTTGTTTTGCGCTGGGGTCTGAGCATTTGGAGTGATGATTGTTGAGGTGTTTCTAGGTGTTATCTGGACTTGTCTTTGCTGGTTGTTCCATAGTTTGGTATTGCCTTCTCTGGATTGTAGACAAAGGGTTGTGGCTATGGGGTCCCTGGTAAAGAGTGCTTCCATGGTTTGGTGGGTGGTGGAAAGAAATGGAGAAATGGAGTGGAAGGGAGTAGGGATAGGGCGGGAGGCTGGGGGGATGGTAGGGCTTGCGGGAGGAGGGGAGGAAGAGGGAGCTGGGATTGACATGTGAAGCAAGCTCTTTTCTAAAAATTAATGTAATTAAAATAATGAAAAAAAGATGAGATAGGGTAGGAGGGAAGCCTGAGGGAAAGAGCCAGGTGGACCAGGTCCACACTAAAAGGTGGAGTCCCTGGGGAGTAGAGGAAGGAGGGTGCTCCTGCAGGCAATGCTGCTAAAAGGCTGAGTATTGAAAGACCCCAAAAGGGATACTTTCACGGAAGGGAGACCCGAACCCAAGGAACAACGAGACCACGAGCTTGGATGCAACAGCAAGAGGCTTTATTGATAATACACGGGTACCCGGGGCGTCTCAGTCTCGGGAACTGAGAGCCCCGAGCTGGGGACTCGGGGATTCTTTTATAGCAAAAAGCGCAGTACAGAAGCGAGAAGCCTAGTTACAGGACCCTGATTGGGCAATTTAAATGAGGCTGGGGCTCAGAACGAGGGCAATTGAGGTTTTGCTTGGAACTCAAGTCTCGGCCTTGGCCCTATCTGAGGAACAATAGGTCTCTGTGCTTGCCCAATCTTGCTGGGCTGGCCATCTGGTCAGAGCTCCCTTCTGATAGCAATGACTATTCAGCTGTGGGGACCTTGAACTGAGCTCCCCTCTGATAGCAATGACTATTCAATTGTGGGGGAAACAGAATTTTCCATAAGCCTCGGCTGCCTGTTTAGACTGGGCCGGGGTCTTTCAGTATGAAACAGGAGAGATCATTGTGCGAAGCAACTTGGCTGGCTTTAAGTTCAGCGTGGAGCCTGCAGGAGGTCTGTTAGATTTTGGAGGGCAGAGAAAAGAGACAAAAGGCAGGAAAGAGACCGAACCTGACCTCCACCAATGAGACTGTTTATTAGCACACCTGGGGCAGCTGCTTTCCTACAAGAATGGAGGGGCTCAGTGAATGGCAGTGAACTTGTCAGGCTCTTAGGTACTAGGAAGCTGATGCATTGGTGGAGGGTCCTTGTAGATTGCAAAACCTCCTTCTCCTGGGGTTGTTTTTCCCAACAGGGTAGTATTGTCTCTGTAACTCTTGGCCCCAGCCAGGGTTGTTGGGTAGTGGTTGATGGACAGCAGTTGGGCAATGCCTGCAAGACATCTCAGCAGGACTTTTCCTTTTCCGTGGCTGGGGCATTCTATCATTCCAGATCCTGAAAACATTAAAATGAATAGGGACGTTGTCTATTTCCTAGTTGTTTTGAACTGAGGAGGGCTGTCATTTGGAAGAGGTGGTTCCAGGTCTGTTAAGAGGCAGGTCCTCGGGTCCACTTAGCAGGAACTGAATTTTAACTTGATCACCACTGCGGATTATTCAATTGCTGTCATGCATTCCTGGTAGAGAGCCAAAAATAGATGACTCAATTACAGAGTAATGTAACAGGTCTTTCTTTGGATTTCCAGCTCCAGAATAATGACTTGGAGACTTTTTATTAGTTATGAAAGCTTGGTCTTAGCTTAGGCTTGTTCCCAACTAGCTCTTCTAACTTAACACATTGATATTAGTCTATGTTCTGCCATGTGGCCCGTTACCTCTCAGTAAAATATGTCTGACTTCCTCCATGTCTGGCTGGAGAATCTCCTGTGCTTCAGATTCTGTCCCAGAGTGCCCATCTTTCCCCAGAAGTCCCACCTGTCATTTCCTGCCTAGCTACTGGCTGTCCATCTCTTTAGTAAATCAATCAGAAGGTGCCTTAGGCAGGTGAAGTCTAACAGACACACATCTTCACACATGTACAAAAAAATTATCCCAGCAGAGTAAAACCGAGGGATTGCCCAAAGGGTGGAGGGAGGGGGAGTAGAAGTGGGAGAGACAGAATGAGCCGGTGAAAGGAAGTAGGTATCTAGATAGGAGCTCCCACATAAGGTAGGGGAAAGGGCTTGTGTTGTGTCTTGAAGGGCTGTGGGTATTTGGCAGGGGTGAGTCAGGTCAAAATTGGGGAGGATTCTTGGTAAGTTTGAGGAGCAATAGCTCCATGTTTAAGGTTTTGGAAGAAACAGGGAGTGGTGGGAGGGAGAAAGTTTTCCTTCCAGGCCTAATTGTTCAGGGTGATAGTGACTAGTTCCACCACCGCCAAGTGCTGCCCCAAAAAGCAAGCTAGCAGAAACAGCAGAGCTACGGAACATTGAGGAAGGGGTGAAGGAGAAAATCGAGGAAGGATGTAAAGAATTGTATCTGGCCTGAGGTGAACGGAATGAAGTTCACTTATGGCAAGAGTTTCTCCACGGTGTCTAAAAGGTCTTTTTTCAGATGTATCAGAAACCAAAATAGCTGTTGTCGGGTGAGAGTCCTTGTTTAGGTGTAGGGGCAAGTCGGGGCATTTTAAGGGAGGTATGTTTGGTAAGTAAAATATTTAAAAGACGGGGTAAAAATTTGGGTAATAAGAAGGCAGGGAGTGGGCTGGAGAGATGGCTCAGCCGTTAAAGGCTAGGCTCACAACCAAAAATATAAGAAGGCAGGGAGTAATCCAGGGGAGGAACCAGCTAATTACAGTTAACTTTTATAATTGTACTTTTACAAAATATAATTTTGTTGTTTTTGGAGATAGGGTTTTTCTGTGTAGCCTTGACTGCCCTGGAACTTACTCTGTAGACCAGGCTGGCCTTGAACTCACAAAGATCTATCTGCCTCTGCCTCCAGAGTGCTGGGAATTAAGGTGTATACCGCCATGACCAGAAAAAAAATATAATTTTTATATGACTTAGTTTCTCCAAATAGTCACAGCTTTAAAAAGTTGGAAAAAAATAGTGATTAGACATAAATTCTTAAGTCAAGTTTCTGTTAGTACAAATAGACCCTTATAACCCTAGGGGTTATAATTATAATCATCAAACATATATCAGTTTTTACAAAATGATTTAATTTTATGTGTATTGGTACTTTGACTGAATGCATGCCTGCATGAGGGTGTCAAGATCACCTGGAACTGGAGTTTCAGACAATTTTGAGCTATCTTGTGAGTGCTGGGAATTAAACCCAGGTTTTCTAGAACAGCCAATACTCTTAACCACTGAGTTGTCTCTCCAGCCTCTGACATATATCATTCTAAACCTTATATAATATACTCAGACCTTCTGTGACTTGGCTTTAAGCTTTTGTGATTTTTGGCCTCATCTGTTATTTTTTATTCTTAGGGAAAAAATTTTATCCAAGATTTTAACCTTTTTAAAACCAAAAACATACAACTATCTATTTTGTATCCATTTAAACATTTTCCCTCATGTCTTAGTTTCTATTTTCCTAAACATGCGTTGAATCCAAGTTACATATATGGCATGGTATAGCAAATTAAGAATGTCTGTAGATAGAGTTTAACTACTAACCTTTTTTGTTATAAATTTTAAGCTAACTTCTTTCGGGTTGGAACAGTTTTTTAACACTCTCTTTGCCAGTGGTCTTACAGATCCTGAGGGAAAGTAAGTTTACATTTCACAAAGAGCTTCAAAGATACCCATGACCTTGAAGGAGGGGCAAGACCAAGAAAGGGAAAGTATTCAGAGTGCTAGGCATCTGTAATTATATATAGCCATTTTCATTTTTATATATAAATTTCTTTTCCTTATAAAGTTTTAAACACCATGAAACATAACAGTAACAAACTCATTTGTTGTTGAAGTTTTTCTGAGGTGGTGTTAGGCCTTTACTCAATATATGTAACAGCCTTTTTACTGATGTGTAGGTGGACTCCCCATTTTTAGCTTTTAGCCTGCACACCCCAGTTATTCCAGAAAACCTTGAGGTTTCGTGCAATTAGTAGCTTATTGCATACAACCAGCTGGGAAAAATGAATGGCTACTCAGGTGACCTTCCTAATGATTTTGCCTATCTTTCTTTTTGAAGGACTATTAACTTTTACCAAGCTCAGCTGTAATTATTTTAAGAGGCATACCTCTTAAAATAACCCCCCCCCCTCAAAGACAGCTTCTCTGTATAGCTCTGGCTGTCCTGGAACTCACTCTGTAACTCTGTAGACCAGGCTGCCAGAGATCTGCCTGCCTCTGCCTTCTGAGTGCTGGGATTACAGGCGTGTGCTGCCACCGCCAGCAAGTTTTGTTTTTTATCCACAACCATCTTGTGTATGTCTACAGATAGAGGCGGACAACCTGAAAAGCTGACAAGTGTTTGTTATCTGAAAAACATATCAAGCTGCAGAATAATCTAAGTACCTGTAACTTAGAAGTCATCAAACAGAAAACCATGAAAACCTGCCAGAAAGTCAGAAAATGTCGGTATCAGCTTGTTTCTTCCTTAGTTTCCCCATGCCTTTAGGACTAAAAACCTGAAACACAAGTGAGGCAGAAACAAAGGCAGACCATAGGCACAAGGCAAAGGAGCCCCCAAGACACAAAGACCATCCTATCTCAGGGAAGCAGGCTTGGAGGCTCAGGAGAAATGGCAGGCATAAGGACCCAGTACAGCTTCTATCTCCACCTCCCTCCAGTCTCACAGCTACTGGGCTGGTCTCACAGGGCAGGAGAGGGTCATCTATGTCACAATGGGCATACTTAGGCATGTTCTTATAGACATGAGACTGAACACAGGGGTTCTCACTGGAATCTCTGAGCAGCGCAAGACCATCAGGGCGACCACACCCTTCCTCTGTCTCTAAGCATTACTCCTTCTAACTATTGGCCATTTAACTCTCTGGGCAATGCTGTGGCTGTATGGACCTCTACAGTTCCAGAAAGCCTGGTGAGTTCCCCGGGGGGAGGTCAGTCCCTGTGGTGTCCCCTCAGAGAGGACCCCAAGGCTTCAAGGAGCTTAATGACACTGAATGCAAGTACAAGAAGGTTTGTTTACTTCTGGAAAACCAGCTAGCTAGGGCTCAACTCTGACAGGAGAGTTGAAGCCCCAAGCCACAAAAACAAGGCACTTTTAAAGAAAACGGGGGGGGGGGTCCCCCGAGGTTACAAGTCCCAGCCCACAGGGTTCCCATGGTTACAGAGATTACTTAGCATACTAGAGGTTATCATGAGACTTGAAGGCCTTGAGGAGTTCTGAGACTAGGTCTCAGTAGGGTTTCCATAGTTAGAGATTACTTAGCACACCAAGTTTTTATACAAAGTTATCTCAAGATGAAGGGCCTTGAGAAGACCATGACTGCATTGGGTTAGGCAGAATTAATTGGCACACCTGTGCTCTGGGATTCCACGGCCTGAGCACATCCTACAGTTGTGGGCTAAGGGAGCAGCTGCCCATGCCCCTCACTTAGTTGGGGACTTTATTTTCCTTATGACGTTTCATCATCCCTAGCCCAAGTACCCTGCCTCCCTGCATCGTCTCTGGTCTCTGAATTTCAGGTGGAGGTCAGCACCCTTCCCTCTTTTCACAGAGCCCAAGGATGGCCCAACCCTCAGTAGAACACAGCAGGTGTTGTCAGTTCAAGACCAGATGGGCTAATTCCCCAGCTAAGAACCCTCACCTGCCCTTGCTGCTCTCTCAGCGAAGACAGACCAGGTGTTTGGAGAGCTGCCCATGGCAATCTCCACCCTGTGTCTAAGGGGGTGGGTGTCTCCAATTTCCTCTAGTCTTCACCCCAGCAGAAATTTTCCATTTTTGATTTCCTGAAAAAGACAGTTCAGGCAGGGCCCAGTAATGGTTCCAGCAGTCAAGTTTAATTAGACAAGGCAAGAAGCAAGCCCGTGCTCTTTAGCACAGGCCTAGCCCAGCCTTGACCCAGAAGGGCTTGAGATTTAAGATTTTTCTCTCTGTTGTCCTCTTCCTTGTGCTTCCTCCAGGGTGGGACTTCCTAGTTGGCACATCTCTCAGAAACTCATTTTACCTAGAATTCAATAGTCTGTTGTAAATAGGTATATAAGGTGCAAGAATCTGTGTAGAGCTTACGTTCCCCCCAAACAAAAAGTGCACTAGGGAGAGGGTAAGCGTACATACTCTCATAGGGAGGAAGTCCCTGAAGGTTTGATCAGCTGCATCACCCATTGTTGTTTTTTTTTCCCCATCATCCTGGTTTTGAGCTTCCACTGGCCCATGCGGAGTTGACCACCACCACTGTTACATGGTTTCAAGGGCCCTGAGTTGATCTGTTGTTTTAAGGGCCTGTTGGTCAGCGACATGGAAGGTGAACCAAGAAGAGCACCTGTAGCTTAGAGGCAGGGAAATTGTCAGCCCTGGGCACAGGTGCAGCCCATGGTGATGAGTTGGTTAGGGATGGTTGGATCGTACCAGAGGTGGGTGGGGGCGGGAGCTTGCTGAGTATGACTGGCTCGGTGATGGTACTACCCGGTGGTCCTTGGCACATAGCTGTTAGCTGAGTCCCGAGTGAGCAAACTGGGTGGGAGTGCGGAGGATAGCCTTGCAGCTGGGAGCTAGCTCAACCCCTAGCTGGGGGCGGTCCAGCGCATGGGGGCGTGGCACGTCGGGGGCTGGGGGCGGGGGCGGGTTGGTTAGGTGTTGGGCTCGCGCAAGCGCCTGGTGCCAGCGTTGACCTCTGAGGTGGCGGCCATGGGGCACTCGAGTTGGCGGTTGGTGGTCGCGGCCGGCGCGGGTCTCGCGCTGGCCCTAGAGGCGCTACCGTGGCTGATGCGTTGGTTGCTGGCCGGGCGGCGGCCTCGGCGTGAGGTGCTCTTCTTCCCGTCTCAGGTGACCTGTACCGAGGCCCTCCTGCAGACCCCAGGCTTGCCCCCCCGGGCCCTCCTCGGGCTGCCCGTGCAGCCTCCCTCACAGTGAGAGTTCGCTGAGCCGGCTGCTGCGCGCGCTGCTGGCCGCCCGCTCCAGTCTGGAGCTCTGCCTCTTCGCCTTCTCCAGCCCGCAGCTGGGGCGCGCCGTGCAGCTGCTGCACCAGCGTGGGGTGCGTGTGCGGGTCATCACCGACTGCGACTATATGGCCCTCAACGGTTCGCAGATCGGCCTACTGCGCAAGGCAGGTAAACCTCCGCCCAGGGGCTGATGACTTATTTGATGCCCCAGCTGACTACTTTTTTTTTTTTCTACAACAGGTAGCTTTACAGGGAGAAGGTGGAGACAGGCAGGCAGGCAGGTGCGGGTGTGCGGGCCAAGGAGCCAAGTTTTATAGAATGTTACGTTATTGTTTGTGCGGGAATTCCCACCCGTTCTAGGCTCTGGCCTTGGAGGAGAGGTGTGTACAGACTCGGTCACTTTCTGTGATGGTTGCAGGGTGACAGACGTGAAGGCAAGGAGGATAAAGCTTAAATATTTGAACCCAGGGACCCTCAGCTGCTTCTGCGTGGACCACAGGAGAGCTAGGAGTGACCAGTGATCTGTGTCGATTAGTGAGTTTTCCCACTAGTTATGGTCACTGGAAAGTGGACTCTACAGTGTGGTGGATGAATACTAACCAGCCATCTCTGTGCCCACTGCTCTGCCCAGGCAACAGGTGTGATCTGTAGCCTCCCTTGGCCTGTGGCCCTTGTTTGCCTGCTTTTTAGTGGTGGGCACTGCAGGAATTCAAATTTTGACTGCTAGATCCTTCCTTTACCCAAGAGTCAGTGGTTCTCCCCGGCCCCCCCAAACCCCCAAACCAAACCTGGCTGACCTGATCATTGTGTCTACAGTGACTGACAGGAGCCCTGAGAAAAGCTGAGGCTTGGCGGTGCTCTCGAGTTTTCCTTGTACACAGCCTGCCCTCCCACTTCCCTGAGAGTGTAGGCTTTGGAAAAAGGGTCTGCTTCAGACAGCAATTGAGAACAGCACCCATAGCACCAGCCAGCTGTGCATCACCCATGTCAGCAGAGCAGAAGGCGTCTGACAGCTCCTCTCTGCCCCCTTACTGGCCCCTGAGAGTGATCTCCAGTCAGGCCATCAAGTAGGTATAGGCATGGGTGATATCACTGTACTTAGATTTTGGAGAGTCATAAAACCTCAGATTTGGAAAGAACCAAACTGCCATCACAGATCCACACATCACTGATGTTCTGGCTACACCTGGGTGAGTTCCAGATTGTTCCATCAACAAGTATGCCATGTGTCAGTATTGGGTACAGCCAGCTACTTGTGGGGAAAACACATAAATCAGAAAGGTCTGGAAAACTTTACAAAGGAGGTCCTGTAGGAAGTGAGGTGGCTAGGATAGCTGGAGAGGCACCCAGGGGCAGTATGATGTGACCGAGTCCTGATTAGCTGCTGGGGACTAAACAAGAGTGGTCTGTAGTGAGGTGGGTGCTGCCAGGCTTTGCCCTGATAGCAGATGGGTGGAGTTGGGGCAGAAGCTGAGTGAGATACAGGTAGTCCGTTCCTGGCATGTGAAGGGTGTGGGTTTCACCCCAGCATCCCTGCCAGACAGTGTACCCTCAAAAGTTAAGAAGCCAAAGCCAGAACTTTGAGGATAGCTGGTTCGAATGTGGTAGTTCTTTCTGGTCAGCTTAGTGAGGCACCCTGGGAGGTGTGATTCAAGTTGGCCAGCCAAACTCTTTTCCTGCCTAGGCATCTGTCCTCTAGGTTATCCACTCCAGTGAGTGAGTGACAAAGGCAAGGGTCTGTCACGTCTGACTCCCTTCTCTGAAGGACTCTGAGGTAGTATTTAGACTTCAGCTTTAGTGGAGCTGGTGTGGGCGGGTTGTTCCCCAGAGAAGTGTTTGGTGTCATCCAGAGTCCCTGCTTTCTGTGTGCTAACATGGATGACAGACGGCCTGTCATCTCAGTACTATCCTGGGACAGCCCCTGGGTTTCCTGTGTAGCCAACTGAGGACATGAGCAGGCTTGGGGTAGCTGCACCTGGGTGGTGTTATAAAGGCTGCCTTGGCTCCACAGGTATACAGGTACGTCATGACCAGGACCTCGGCTACATGCACCATAAGTTTGCCATTGTTGACAAGAAGGTGCTCATCACTGGCTCCCTCAATTGGACCACACAGGCCATCCAGAACAACCGTGAGAACGTTCTGATTATGGAGGACACAGAGTATGTGCGGCTGTTCCTGGAGGAGTTTGAGCGCATCTGGGAAGAATTTGACCCCACCAAGTACAGCTTTTTCCCCCAAAAGCATCGAGGGCACTGACCCTGCTCTGTTCTGCTCAGTCTTCCAACTTGTACTTGTGATTTGAACCAGACTTTCCTGGCTGGCAGGGAGCAGCCTGGGTGCACTGGACTGATGTCTTCCTGTCATTGCATTGGCACAACAGAAGTCAGGAAGGAAGTGACAGTGTGGCCAGTGCAATAGGCTGTTCTATGGCAGTAGTTGCCTAGATAGGCAGGCCATCCTCTTTAAGTGGCTTCTGGGCATCACTAGACATGTCTGATAGTCCTGACCCTCTGCAATTGGTGTGTCTCCTTGCATTGCTAATCACTGGTGAGGACTACTTAATTGTCCATAGCCCTCACATTAGAGCAGTACTGTGGATTTAGAAGTGGCCTCACCTCGAGCACCTATGTGCACTTGTAGCTTTTGCTCAGTCATGGACCAGGAGCTGATGACAAAGGGAGCACTGGAGGTAAGAGCTGCCCAGGCTATCTCAGCTCTGTGGTGGCCATTCCCAGGGGGTCAGAGGACAGTCTCATCTGCATTTGTGACATGTTCCAAACTATTATGTTTTTATATGCAAATAGCTTAACTGACAAAAGAGCTACAGTTTTGTCATTGGTCATGCTTGTGTACATGACAAGCTCCATGTGGTCCCTTAAAGTCAGTCTGAGTGGATGAAGTGTCCTTTAGTTCATAGAACTGGTCAATATAGGTGTTTTCTTCCTTTTTTATGGAGGGAGGGGTGGTAAAATGAGGTCTTACCATGTAGCCCTGGCTGGTCTTCAACTCAAAGATCTGCCTGATTCTGCCTCAGATACTGGGATTAAAGACATGTGCCACTGTGCCCAGCTCTGTTCACCTCTTTCAGTTTTACCTTTTACTTATGTTAGACAACTTGATGTTGATTTTCAAAAAGATTTAACAGAAACTGTAAAGTATAATATTCAGAAGTAGTTATGTTGAATAAGTTCTTCCCTTCTGGAGCTTGTAAATCCTTAAGTGTGTGCTCAGGTGGGGGAAGATCACAAAATGTCCTTTGAGTGACAATGCCATTGGGGCTCTTGAACTTCTGGCATATTTCAATAAATATTATTTTGGAATATGAACTGCTACTTGTCTGCCTTAGTCTGCTGCATTCAGATACGGCTACACTTAAAACATTGTGGGGGTAGTATGTAGTTATTTAGACACCCATTTTGAAGACAGGAGCCCCTGAAAGAGCAATAGCACTTAAAGTAGTAGTCACCTTCTGTTAGTGTGCTTTCCAGATAGCCAAGCTCCTCTCTGGCACTATTTCCAGACCTTTCAGAAATAGAAGCATGATTCCTAGCTTGTTTCTCTTTGTCATCTGCCTGATGGTATGTCTTCCTCGACTCATGCCCTCATCCCTTCCAGAGAAGGCGGTATCCACATGGCAGCATATATGGCTGTCAGGGGCTAAATAGCTTTGTTGTGTTATCTGCAAGAATGTGTGAAGACTTAAGTGACATGACTTCATATATTCATCTTTTTGTTGTCTGTTTTGAGACAGTCTCACTATATAGACTGGTCTTATATTCTTGCCTCTACTTTGTAAGTACTGGGAGTACATATATGTACCACCACACCCATATTGAATGCTATGAACTAGGAGCATAGTACACGTGGATATCTCTCACTTGTCTCAGTACCAGTTTAAGATGATTTCCCCCAATTAATATTAAATTATTATTTAAACCTTGGTCTGGGCTCTTCATTGTCTCACTGTAGTAACACTAGCAGCAGTCTAGATTAGTAAGAACAACAGTATGTCTTTGGAACTGGCAACATGAATCCTGTTTCTAATATATTCTTAATCTTTTACATTTCCATATGAGTCTTAAGATAAACACACCTATGTCTGGCAAAAATTAAAGCATCTAGGATTTTGGTAGGGATTATGTTGAACCTGTACATTAAGCTGAGGTTACCATCTTGAATTTTATGACCCACAAGTGTGGATATCTACTATAGCTTTAATTTCACCTGATGCTTGTAGGTTTCCTGTTGTTCACTCCATTGGGTAGCCATGGAGATACAAAAGCAATTACACAACAAAGGGATGAGGCATTTCTAATAGAAAGCAGACAGGTTCTTGGAATCACAAATGAAAGAAACACTTTAAGAAAATAAGAGACCCTTCCAGCCTGCAAGGGGGAAATGGATGGCCAATCCAGAAAAGGGACTGAGATGAAGATAGAAGTCAGTCTGGGTTAATAATGGTTCTCAGCATGAACTATGTTTGTTTCTTCTTTTCCCATCTTTGGGCTTAATTTACCTTTAGTGCCCAGGGCTGTTCAATACACTTCTATGCTTGCTTGCATTTTGTCTTAGTGTCTTCTGTAGAACTAGGTCCTTATGGTATTTTAGGGTTTTTTGTTTTGTTTTTTTCCTGTCTTTTGAAGGATTTTTTTTTTTTTTGGCTGGAGTATCATGTCAATGTTTGTAGTTTTGAGTGTGATTTATTACTCAGGTTACTGTAAATGGAATTGCTTAATTTATTCCAGTCTTCAGAACTACTGTGTAGAAATATAACTGAGCCTTGTATTCTAACTTTCTGAATCTAGTAGTGATAGCTGAATTAAAAAATGAAATAAAAGGACTACTCCTAAAGTACGGAGAAGACTTTTATTGTAGGTATGATGGAGAAAGCAGGCAGAGAGGAGAGTCCAGACTGAACATGGTCGCAGACTAAACATGAGGAACCACTGACCAGTAGACCAAGACCAGAGTAAGCAAGAATTGCTGAGTTATAGAGGGATCCGGTGGGGGAAGGGAAGTGGAAACCCAACCCCCAGGAGGGAGAGATTTAGGATAGATGGAGCAGGTTGAGAGAGCTGGCCAGTATCTTCTTTGATATTTTAATATGCACCTTCCCAGGTTTCTGAGACCTAACACTAACAATACACACTTAATATTTAATCTCATTTAAAAGGAACAGTTTATTAACACCTTCCCTTTCAGTCAGAGTGCCTTTCTCAATGAACTGCTTGGCCTAGATCCTTTGTACCATTTTGTGAATGGAAGTAGGGAAAGATGTCTTCAAGGAGATCCTGATCCTAGGGAAATGCTAGTCTTTAATTACTGAGTGTGATCAGTTTGGTGGGGAGGGGGATTCTTTTCTGTTCCTGGTCTTTGATTTTTGTTGTTTCTATGTGTAGCTCTGGCTGTCTTGGAACTCACACTGTAGATCAGGCTGGCCTTGAACTCAGAGATCTACCTGCCTCTGCCACCTTAGTGCTGTCCCACCCGCCAGCTATTTAAAATTTTAATCATGAGTGATCAGCTTGCCAACTAATTTTAAATTGCACTTACATATCAGGATAGTTCCCCAAAGCTTTTTGGTGTACATTTGTTTATAATAGTTTTTAGTGGACAAAAAGCAACTGGAAAGCCCCTAAACAAATGCAATAATAACATACTAAAAATATTTATTCTTTGTCTTTTATATCTTTGTTTTACTGTTTTATAATATAAAGTTGATTTCTAATTGGTATAGAAACATTTTGTATTTCCAGTTTCACATACTTTTATTATAAAGTTTGTGACAATATTGAAAAAAACTTTGTGAGGGGTTATGGGGACAGATAGGGTCTTGCTGCGTAGCCCAGGCTGGCCTCAGACTCTGACTCTTCTTCCATCAACCTCTGGGATCACCAGGTTGGCTGCCATTTTGTCTGGCCTAGTTTACTATTCTAAATCTATTGAACAAAATGTTTTAAAAAATGCAACAAACATCAAGAATATACCATAATTAGAGGATCCTGTTTTGTTAATTTTTTTGTTGTCTATTTTAGATTATGATGCTTTTAAAAACACAGGCTTAATTATATCAAAAGTAAACTCACGAAGGACATGTCTAATATACTGGTGCACACTGGTACTCAGTGAACTGAAGATGAGGCCAGCCTGAGCTATAACTCTAGGGCTCGTGTGGTAGAGGACTGTCCAGCATGCTTGAGGCCCTGGGCTCCAGCACCACAAAATAAAAACCCAAGAAAACTACTATGAGACAGTTACATACAATACTGTGATTGATGGAATCCCCACTGAATTTTTTTTTTTACTATTCTTTTAACCCCTGAAGTTTCTATACCAAGTCAAAGTACCTTAGATTCTAGACATAAATATTATGGCTTATGTGTGAAAATCTAATGTAAATAATAGTGAAAACAAAAACACTCTGAAACGTGTAAAGGAAAGCAGCAGGTGTTAAACTTGGATGATGGCCCATTCTGGGCTCCCAGTACGTTTATGACTCAGGACTTCAGATTTTGGTCTTCGCCTGGCTGAGTCAGCACCCATATGCATGCAGAGGGCAATGCAAAAATAGTTTATTATGATACAGTTCATGTAAAATCAAGCAGTATTTACACAATAAAAATGGTTAGCTATAGCCAAGGACTCTAGCTTGTCACACAAAGGAATAAATATTTCTACAAATTAACATTTCAATTATAGTGAACACCTGACCACAAACTTTGTAGGAAACACCTCACACTAAACCATAAAATGTTTGAATGAGGAGTTTAGGGGACACTTTATCTGCAGGAAGGCCACACCCTATGCACATACACTGAGGCCTAAACTGGTTCTGGCAGCTGTGCTCACAGCCTCCCTGGCTCCATTTTTTTGTACACGTAACTTTTAGTCTGGCAACCAGACTGATTGTATCAGAACAGAAACTCAATACCAGGTGAGATGGCACAAGCCTGTGACTGCCGCAAAGTGGCCTACAAGATGACACGCACCCCAGCCCAGTCAAGCAGTTGTCATGGAAGGTCACCTAGAGTTCTGATTGTCAAGGAGCCACTGTAACTGGGATGCTTACTATTCTACATAGCACACCTACAGAAAGTCACATTGTTTAATTACCCACAGAACTGGTTTTGAATCCTGGCATTAAAACCAAAGTTAAATCTTAAAGTGATTTAAAATCGATTTAAATTGAAGTTTGTGATAGAAACTAATAGTGAATTTAGTGTTCTTTACAATTCCTAGCTAAAATAAAATCGGATGTGTGGTAAGACTAATTTCTAAAGGAGAGATGAGCCAAGAGCATGTTGACTGGCAAGCTAGAGTGGGCTGTGTCAGCTAGGATTCTTACAACTGCACTTCTTTATGGCAAATGCTGGCTATGGAGCCCTGCCCCACCATGGAAGCTGCTACACTCACTCATGACCCACAGAACTTGAAGAGGCCTTGAAGTCTTTCAGTTCTGGACTGTCTAGTTTTTAAAACTCTCTCCTGATGGGCTAGCTCCTTACCAGTGTCAGAGAGATACAGCCAGGGAGCTAGATAAGAGACTGGTGGTCAGGTTGCTCTGCACACAGTCCAGCCCCACAGTTCTGTCAGAAGCTAGGCACCTGGGCCGGAAGCAGCTTATAGCCCCAGCCAGTTCCCCTAACAAAAATTACACTAAGAAGCCTGAAGGCTGGGTGCCAAAAGGTCCTCATATTCCTGGTTTTCCTTGAGTGGCTGGCTCTACCAGTCTCAGAATGCTTTTAGTAGCATCCAGGGCACTGCTAAGGGCTTGCCATGAGTATGGGTTAAGGGGATAGCCTGCAAAGCATCTGTCAAGTAACCAAAAACTTTAAAACAGTGGTTATTAACTTAGTCTTCTGTTTTTTGGGTTGTTTTATTTTTAGATGGGGTTTTGCTGTGTAGCTCTGATTCTTCTGGATCTCACTATGTAGATCAGGCTGGTCTTGAACTTAGCTTGTCTCTGCCTTCTAAGTGCAGGATTAAACATGTGAGCCACCACACCTAGCTAACTCCAGGTATTCTGATGTCTGAGTGGGATTTGCACTGAATCCAGCACTGCCCTCCACACCTCCTAAAAGGGTGTCTAGATAAGATGTTTTAAAAACTCAAACTTTGCACTGAAATCCCTGTATCATGTCTCAAATACTTAACCACTACTTGCTCTGAGTTACAGGAAAGGCTGAGTGGCCTGTTGTATGCTGGGAGCTCCCATGAGGAAGGCTGGGAAGGTGACATTTACAGCCTACCAACAAGAGCTAACCCTCTTGTTTTTGGTGTAGGCCAGTCAGCTGGGAGGTAACTGATGTCCCCTCCATCAGCAGAGTCTGTGGTTTGGGTGTGCAGCTTGTATGGGATACTCATGTGGAGGCAGGAGTGGGGACCCCAGAGTTCTCCCTGATGTTAGTTGCATGGGGCCTGTGTGCTTATCCAGCCTGTTTTGGGAGCCAGGGTATGGTTAGAGGTCAGGAGAAAGACCACTTGGTGTGTGGAACAGGACTGCAGGAATCTCTGCACTGACTGATGCCCAGGTCCACACAAACAGTGCAGGCTGTGTGGTATCCAGTCACTTCCCTCAGTATCAGCTAGCTGTCAGCAATGACGAGTGTGTTCAGTTCTCTGCAGTTCCAGGGTAGAAGACAGTGTGCCATCTTCCTTTGTAGGGAAGTTAACAGTAACACACATCCCATCAAATATCTTTCCCACCAGTTTTGTTTCCTGGTCAACTTTCTCAGGCTCCTTTTCGACACATGTTCTGAAGTTCACAAGTGTGCTCTTTGTAGTGCTGTAGTTGGACACTAGGTCTTACACGTACTAGGTGGGTGCTCTACCATTATTAAGCTATATATACAACCTTAGCCTGTCTGTATTTTGAGTCAGAGCTCTTTTACATAGCCCAGGACTTGGAGCATAGGCAAATACCACTACACCCAGTTGAGTGCTCTGCTGTTGGATCCAGCAGATTCAATTCTGGCCTTAGGTTTCCCTCAGTGAATGCATACATTCCCAACCTTCTTCCTCTGGCGATTCCTTACTTCATGAGGGCCCTGGCCTCCTCTGGCCTCCCTGAAACAATGGGCCTCCCATTATTGCCCTGGCTCTGTGGACACCACAATACTAGAAAATCTGCAGCCTTGTGTAACAAATGTGCTCTCTGCTCAGGTGCTGGGCACCACACATGTGCAAGATATAATTTAAGCATGTGTTCACAAAAGCTGTCATATGATGACAAGTAGGTTCCCTGTAATGGCAGTTTGCTTGCAGATGTGCTGGCAGATTACAAATGTGTATATTTATTTATTTATTTATTTTGTTTTTTGAGAGGGTTTCTCTGTGGCTTTGGAGGCTGTCCTGGAACTCGCTCTGTAGACCAGGCTGGCCTCGAACTCACAGAGATCCACCTGCCTCTGCCTCTCGAGTGCTGGGATTAAAGGCGTGCACCACCAACGCCCGGCCAAATGTGTATATTTATAAGAGAATAAAATTCTGAAGCCTATTCATTTTAATGCTGCTCCCACCATGAAATGGGGAAAGCATGCTACTGATTGGGCTGGGAACTGCTTGAAGTTTCTTGATCTACACAACCCAATCTCAACCAAGCATCTTCCTCTACTTGTACATCTGATGCCTCTTTTCTCTGGAATACACCAACTTCACCTCCTTTCCAGGGAATGGGATGCCTGTAAGGAGGTCAGGCAAAAGTGAGCCCTGCACAGCCTGGGGTAAGGGAATTGACATAGGACAGCAGCAGTCCAAAGTAAAAAGCTGCAGTGGGCATGCATGGCCACCAGGGACACAGAAGACTAGCTTCTTTCCTGGTTCACTTCTGCTGGAAGTCATTGCCAAGAAACAAGATGCACCCCGATCCACGTGTTACTGTTCAAGGTGGCCTGGGCAGTGGGAGATGATCCAGGCATCCCTGTACTGTGCCAGTTCAGTATCTGGCCAACACACCACACAGGAAATAAGCCCTAGGCGGAGTGTGCTGTAATGGCAAAAGCGAGCCTTCAGTAAGAGCTTGCGTGGCAGATGCAATAGGTGCAGCTTATCTCCCAGCTCTTGCCTCTGATTCCCAGGTATTATATCTGAGGGTTCTGAGGTGAAGAGCAAAAAATAAATGTAGGCTTGGCATCTTGAGAAGGCACTGTGGCACGTCAGGGAGATGATTTCACTGGGGCCAGAGGGTCCCAAGGGCAGCAGGACAGTTGCAAAGGAAGCACATCAGAGAGAACAGTAGTCCTCAACGCAACTACAGCCTCTGCATCCCAGCCACGCACATGCTACCATGGCCCACTCTGAGCTCAAAACACTGTTTCAGCAACAGCTCCTAGCATGTGCCAATGAGGAACTTAAGCCCAAGGGCTTGCCTGTGGGACAGTGGCACACTTACATATGCCACTAAGCAGTTATCTTGGGGTTCTGCCTGTCTACTTCAAGGCCAGCTGGACACTATGGATGACCTTGAACATCAACTCATGTAGAACTGATGGAGGGGATTCATACATGAGTTGAATTTGTGCACCCAGAGACCATCGGACTGATTCAACACTAACAAAGTGGAAACTCAAGCCAGAGACCTGGGACTCAGGACAGTGGGATCTGCTTGTGAAGCCACTGATTCTCCCATCTGACACGGGGCTCTTGGGTATGCTGCATCTTATGGTATGAATGCTGTTTTAAATGAGAACAGAAACCTCTAAGTTGTTTTTCTTTTTAAAAAGAAAACACTGTAGGATGCTTTGAGAAGTAAGAAAGTCCTATTCAGCTGGGCGGTGGTGGTGCACGCCTTTAATCCCAGCACTTGGGAGGCAGAGGCAGGCGGATCTCTGTGAGTTCGAGGCCGGGCTGGACTGACAGCCTCCAAAACAATACAGAGAAACCCTGCCTCGTAAACCCCCCCAAAAAAAAACAGTCCTACTAAGCTAGCTAGAAAAACTTGTTAGCACAGTCTCCTTTGTTAACGGCTCCATGAGAAGCAGACACTTCAAGGGAACCTTCTAGAGCTCAGACAAATCAGTCCTGAGCACATGCTGCTATTCTTAGCAGCCCTGTCTTCACACACACAGGTCTCCTCTCATCCCTTTCCCAAGGAACCCTGATAACTTCTTTTCAGACAGGTTAAAACCCAGCAATCTGTCCCTCTAGATGACCCAGGGGAGGAGGGTCACACTTGACAAGCCTGAAGGTGCAGGCTGTAAGCCACCATTCTCAGCCAGCATAGGACCAGGATTAGAAAGGCAAGGGAGGCACGAGCGGAGGAAGGAATGAGAGGGGCCGGGGCTTTTGTGCAAGATTTAATAAAAAACCAAAATAGGAATGCTTGCTTTCAACATTTCCAGGTTGTGAAAGATTTGCCAGGATTATCTGGGGTATGGTTCTAAGCTGCATCAGTGGGCCAGATATAAAATGCTGTCCTCCCAGGTCAAAAGGAAGTGGGGACAGGCCGGACACTATCCACGGCCCCTCAACAGCCAGGGCAGACTAGAACATTCACAGTGGCTCTGTTCTCACCGGCCGGGGTGGTGCTCAGCTGGGTGCGGTACAGCAGAGCCACTGGCAGGTCCCGTGTATACTCTGAGGCTGGGCTAGCTTATTAACAGGCTGCTGTGCCTTAATACTGACAGTGAGTGTGGTGGGAGGACAAAAGGGTCCCGCTCAGACGTCAGTGGGGAAGCCCTCCCACTACTGCTTGAGCGGGACTACTCTGAGAATACCATGGGGAGAAAGCTGTGATAAAGACAGACAATGGAAGCCGGAATCAACAGGGAAGGGGATGGAGCAAATGCCCCACACAGCAGTCTCTCATGCATCCATACCCACAGTTCATGATGGCAGCAGTGCAAAGCACAGATGCAGATGAAAGCCACACTGGGCTTGTGCTGCCACCAGCTGGGAAGGACGTGTCAGGTGGATCAGGACGCAGCTAGTCTTTCTTCAAGTCCCTGGACTCGAAGAGCTTCAAGCGCTCTTGCACCGTCAGGCCTTCCTTCAGACTCTGGTGGAGACAGCGGGAGAAGGAGCAATTAGGCGCTGTGCGGCAGCGGCAGTTGGGCTTCAGTAGCAGGTACAGGCGCGAGGCTGAGGGACCCTGAGATTAGTGGGCATGCGAGGGCAGACGGCCCTGAGAGGTAGTGTTACTGGAATTTGCTTTCTCCTGGAGAAGTATACTTGGGTGAGAAAAGGAAAAAAATAAAGAGAAACGAGATCATGTGTCTACACAGTTCAACTCTAGCCTTGAGGCTGGCTCTTCAGACCAAACCACGAAAAACTTGGCTGAGAACTGGAAACCTGGTCACCTGTCACTTTCCCTGTATAGGGAGTATGTATGTCTCATTCTTTTGTCTTCATGAACTCATGACCTTAAGACAAGTGCTCTGTTCTGGGAATCCTAGTGGTACTGCAGCTGGGGCCACCCCCCCCCACTTCCCAGCTGTTTTTCTGTGTTCTTGGTATTATAATAATACCAACTGGGGAACAGAATATTTACTACTTCTCCCTTAAACATCTTTTCCAAAGCTTTCATTTCTGGAAGAGAAAAGAAACCCCAGTTCTTAGAGGACTGGCAATGAATGTATTTCAGCATGCCCTGCTCTGGCTCCTCAGTACCAGCTCTTCTGGCAATGAACCTTGGAGTCAAGCTCAGTCTGGTCATAAATGCAGGTTGTATTAGGAAATGGGAAGCCAGGGGTGTTTCTGGAGGTTGAGGCCCAGCTTTCTTCTGGGCTGTGGTTTTTACCCCACAACTGAGTTGGTTTTTGTTTGAGACAGGTTCTCATATAGTTGAGGTGGTTTCAGTGAGTATTGGTTTTTTACACTATGTATATGTGAATAGTGATACCCATACCTGCTTCAGGGTATTCTTGGTGTTCCCCCTCCTCTTAAGTTCAGGTAGCCAGACTCCCAAGAGATGTTACATAGGTCTTTTGGCTTATCACCCAGCAGCTGAAGCAGGCCTTGGATGGCAACTGAACTTCATGGCAGGTGTGAGCACAGTCACGGGCGGCACTTACTGCCATTCTCAGGGCAGAGAACAGACAAGACCCATTGTCCCTTATACCTTGCTAAGTGCCACCTCTCTGAAGTGTCTAACCTCTTCCTGGCCTCAGGTGTAGCCAGTTACCTTCAGGGTTCAGCATCCCACACCCACCTGTCCCATGACAACACTGAATGAGTCCTCTCTGCTCTGGGTCTCTGAAGAGGCCATGCTGCTGCCATGAAAACTGACTGAGGCAGGAAATGAAAAAGCACCCAAGAAGGTCCCAGTCAGGACACGGCACAGGTTTCAGTCTCTCTTAACAGGGCTGATGAGACTCCAGGTGCACTGCGACAGCATGGACATGCTGCCACCATGCCTGGCTGGCCCCCACTTGCCCAGTGGGGATGGATTATTCTGAGGTCAGATATAAAGCACTATAAAGGAACTGGGCCACCATGCAAATACTAACAAATCATGTGAGAAGCAGTTCCTGGGTCTCCTCTGCCCTCCTGGAAACCCAATGGCCTTTCCCACCTAGCATGACTCTAATCAGCACAGAGGAGCCCTAGCATTGTGTAACTCTAGTGACCCTGCTGAGCACAGAAGCCCCCAATAGCTCATATGGCTGTGTTTGCCATAGAGATCTAGCCAGGATGGAGGATCCTTGTTCCTCGGCATCACTACCAGCCAGTACTGAGCCCCGGGTCTGTGTTCATATCCCCATAAATTCCTATGTAGGTGTGCACCTCACTGCATATCTTCCACATGGTGTCCTTGAATGTCCTTTCTCATTCTGACCCAGAATGGTGACCCATTCACCATGACCACTATGCTCTTTGAGGACTCAAGGGCAAGAGCCAAGTTTAACCTCAGGCTTAAGAAAGCAGTCTCCAATATGAAAACATGAGCCTAGAAAATTCCTCTCTTACCAAAGAAAACTTCAAGTTTCAGGAAAAACCCTAAACTAAGTTTTTAATCTTGCTTAGACCACATCTGCATATAAGTCATCATGTGACTACAGAAAACAAAAACAGACTGGTTAAAAGAACCAATGATGCCAGGTAGTGGAGGAGCACACCTTTAATCCCAGCACTGGGGAGGTAGAGAATGGTGGACCTCTGTGAGTTTGAGGCCAGCCCTGTCTACAATGATTTCTGGGATGGCCAGGGCTACATGGAGAAACTCTGTCTTCAGCACCCCCCCCCAAGAACTACTGTTAAAAAATCTTGGGCTTTCTTGATACTCTTCCCTTAGGCAAACCTGTTTCCCCTGAGCCCCAAGCTAATGGCCCTAGCTGGAAGTTGGGAGGGCTTATGTACACCAGGAACCAGCACACCTGGGTATTACCAGTGGGAACAACAGCCCATAATCCTTGAGCTGTTATCATTGCATAAAGAAGTTAACACAGCATCCCTAGGACTGACTTCAACATGGACAACCCTATCACCTTTATGGGAGAGACAGGCTTTTGTATCACGTAAAGACAGAAATAAAAACAAAAAAACAAAACAAAACAAAAAAACACCCCAAAAACCAAAACAGGTCATGTTCAGCCCCATGTGTAAGGGTGCCAGGCCCTTAGAAACAAAATACTTTCTTAGGCTCTACCCAAGTAGTATTGATCAGTTCTACACAGAACAGCACAATGGGGATCTGCTCTATCTTCAGACTTCTCCCACAAGCAGCCTTGCTAACTGGCTGCGTGAGGTCTACCACAAGAGCAAACTGCTTGCTAGCGTCAGCGGGTATCTGCCATCTCCCTGCAACTTGTTTCCAAGAGAGGAGACATGAACTTGGTGCCGTGCAAATCACCCAGTATGCATGCTGGCTTGTGCCCTCCTGTCAAGCTGGGGAGGCCCGGGGCAGGCTCAGTTCTGTGAGGAGGTTAGAGTGCCAACTTGCAGGATAGGTACTGAGATCTCACGTGGACTGTGTGTGTGCTGGAGAAGGATGAATGAAGACATTACACAGAGGTGTGCTATGGAGGTATGAGCAGTGCATGCAGAGCCGCCTGGGCGGGGAGTGGGCAGAGTGAGAAGTGGTTTACCTACACGACAGGGGACTTGGAAGCGGGCGCGACTCAGTTATCCCATGAGACCTGCTCAATTACGGACTGTCAGAGGAAAGAGCAAAAATAAGACACACACACAATCAGTTCTAAATGCAGCATGCTGGCCAGGCCCTCTCCGCCCATCCTCCCAGAGACATGCCCATCTGAGAGCACACTGGGGATCATTGACTTCATCTCTCCAAGGCTGGCAGTGTCAGTGTGGTAACAGGGATGTGCAGAGAACAGACATACAGTGGAGCTGATGAGCGGTCAGATCTACCCCACCTTCTGTGAGGCTTAAGTCCAAATTCCTCCATGTCTTGTTTCTTGAAGCCCTGGCCCCTAGATGGTTCTGATGACATGTAACATAGACATGGACATGGAATTTGAAGCCACTAGAATCATCCCAACAGAGTGACTACATAGGTGGGCTAGTGTCCGTACTGGGCTTGACTTCTCCCAGCATCCTCAAGCCCCACCTCAACCATAAGCTGGACCTCACTCACCTTGGACCTGATGTTTCTGAGTTGCCGGGTAACACAGGATCTGTCTTTTTTCAGGAAGTCAGGATTGCTTTTAGATTTCATGATGTCTGAAGGAACAAAAAAAGGCTCATTACTTTTGCATTCTACAATCTTCTGAAAACAAACAGAATGTGTGGGAGGTTTCAAGTCCACTACTAACGTGCACTAAGACATCCAAGTCCAAGTAAATAACCAGTCCGGAATATGCCCTCCTTGGACACCAGCAAGCACCAGAGCACTGGGTTTCCACAGGGTTTAAGTCACAACTTCTGAGTCATACAGAAGGATCTCTTACTTGAGTTGAACTTTGACTTCTGGGCAGACCAATTGGTATCATTATTCCCAGCTTACTCCTGGCACAGGACTGGTATCAAATAAAATCAGATAAATTCTCATAACCTACCACATCAAGAAAATGGTCCTTTCAGTGTCTTAAATACAGATGACAAAGATGCACACTGAGTCACAACCCAGTTTTTCGTAGGGATGGGGTTTTCATGCTTTTGCAGTAAAATTTCACCATTTCTCTTTACATCAGCACACAAACATCTCCCTGTTAAGCCAGGCGTTGGTGGTGCATCCTTTAATTCCAACTTAGGAGGCAGAGGCAGGCGGATCTCTGAGTTCAAGGGCAGCCTGGTCTACAGAGCCAAGTTCCAGGACAGCCTCCAAAACAATACAGAGAAACCCTGTCTCGGGAAAAAAAAAACGTCTCCCTTTCTTCATAAGGACTACATGCTTTGTCACTGTGCAGCTCCTAACAACTCCAGTTTTCCCTGTGTGCTGGGCTGCTGTCCATGGATGACACTTAGCATGTTATGCCGTGTGCTGGGCTGCTGTCCATGATGACACTTAGCATGCTGTGCCCTGTGTGCTGGGCTGCTGCTTGTGGCACCTGTCTGTAGATGCAGTACCCTATGTACACTTTTCAGAGATTAGTTAGCCTTTAATGCCTTGCTTTTTGGTTTTCTACCCTTTTACAGTTAAATAGTTTTTATATTGTGCTGTTGTTGCCAGTTGCCTTCCAGAAAAGATGTTTATACCTCACAAGCATGCAGAGGACTTGTCTGCTGGCACGTGTGAGCATGTGAGGGCTGCTATGGTTACTGCTTCTAAACTTGCTGGTGAAGGAAAGTTGAGCTGCAGGATGTTACGGACTTGAGCAGATTTTCAGTTTGGGGGGCTTTTATAAAATATCACCATGAGCTGGGCGTTGGTGGCGCACGCCTTTAATCCCAGCACTTGGGAGGCAGAGGCAGGCGGATCTCTGTGAGTTCAAGGCCAGCCTGGTCTACCAAGGGAGTTCCAGGACAGGCTCCAAGACAATACAGAGAAACCCTGTCTCGAAAAACAAAAACAAAACAAACAAACAAAAAATCACCATGAAGCTAAGGTGAAATCATGAATTATCAGAAAGCGTCCAATAGAATGTGGATCTACAGCCTCTTTTCCCTCTGTCCTCCACAGTGCCTGGATATTTTCAGCCAGCACAGAAAAAGGCTATTCTCGAGAGGGTAGTAGGTTCCCCGATCTTTCTGCTTGTCTGTGGTCCTCGAAGATTTTATGGTAAAACATCTGGATTGAGGAACTAATAAGAACTTCCCCTACATGCTGGAGTTTCTCAGCAGACAGAATCTAAGACCCCTTGTTACTATGGAAGAAACTTTGTAAGGCAGCTGCAGGACATAGGAGGAGAGGGTCCTGCGGGCAACCTGTGCATGTGGGACCCCTTAAGGAGATATGGGATGCCACAGGACATTAGAATTTCTGGGCTTTGAGTCAAGTGCTAAGAAATCTTTACAACACTGGGTGGTGGTGTTGCATGCCTTTAAGGGAGGCAGAGACAGGCAGATCTCCGTGAGTTTGAGGCAAGCCTGATCTACAGAGTGAGTTCCAGGATAGCCAGGACTGTTTCACAGAGAAAACCTGTCTCAAAAAAACCAAAATCTTTACTAGTAGCACCCAGATTGCTCACCGTATCCTGACACAGCAGTGCCCTCAGGAGATTTCTCTCCCAGGGCCTCTGTGGCTGCTTTCAGCTGCTCTTTCAACCTGCTGATATCACAGTCAGCTTTGGCCTTCGCAATGCTGAGCTCTGTATAGATGTCTTTGTATTTGTCACTAGCATACTTCTTATCCTAGAGAATAAAAGGACAGAAATGAATGGCAGCTATAGACAGGGATCAGACTCACTCTGGACTCTGGCCTTGGGGATAATTTGCTGGGGGAAGTAACTGTGTCTTGGAAATGACCCCACACCCTCCCTCTCCAAAGCCAAAGACTGAACACTAAACATGCAGTGAGCAGATGGGGCAGTGACCAGGGTAAGCTCAGGCAGCCTGCTGTAGTTCTGTCTGCACAAAAGCCTCTGAGTTTTAGATTTTCTAAGTGACCTGATCATACCAAGGATTATATCACTTCTTTCTGAATGCAGGAATCCCTTTGAAACTAGTCCAAATAGACCCATCTTGATGGTGGACCAAGCCCTACTTTACCCTCATGGCACTCTTCTATCCAAATGCATAGAGACACAGGAACAACCACACCTAACTAGGTGAAGGAGGCTTAACTCCTAAGGCATATGCTTACAGGCTGGTGTTTTAAGGAAATCTGACTTTGGGACCATGATTGTGTAGCGTGGCCTGCTGTGCCAAAATGAGCCCAGTGGGACCTGGTCAGGCCTCCCAGCATTCAGTCTGCTGTGCCCTGCCTCCAAACATGTGGCCCTTACCCGCAGGGCTGTCTGGAGTTCATCCTTGAGGGAGCTGATCTCTTGCTTCAGGTACTGTATTTCTGACTCTTTGACCCGCAACAAGACCTATAAGGAGAGAGAAAATATGAGGGCTGACTATCAGGAACCAGGGATTCTGTAGTCTGTGCAGACAGTTGCTTCATACAGTGGGAAGGAGGAGGCAAGCTCATCCTTGCTGACACCCAACAGAAGACATGATTTAAAAACTGCTCAATGTTTCTATAGAAATGGGAAGGGGAAATGACTCTGCTAGTCTTCCTACTCCTGAGAACCTGGGGCAGCAGGCATTGGGCTACCTTGAGTTCCCACTACTGACTTGTTCTCTTTGTAAAGGCCTAGACATACTGTTCCTGTTGGAACTTCTGCTAACCTTACTCACCTCCTCCTGCTCACCTGTCAGTATGGTACAGTTTGAGCCATCTATAAGGGAAAATCTTAACCTAATGGGAGCCTTCTTGAGGATGCCCTACACTAGTGGTTCTCAACCTTCCTAAGGCTATGACCCTATAATAAATATAGTTCCTCATGTTGTGCCGACCCCCAACCATATCATTATTTTGTTGCTATTGCATAACTGTAATTTTGCTATTATAAATCGTAGTATAAATAGATGATATGCAGGGTATCTGATATGTGACCCCCTCAAAATGTTTATGTGACCCCCCCAAAATGTTGAGACTCACTGTAGAAGGAAGTTTCTGTCCTGCCCGTTCCACTGCTGTTGAGTCCCAAATAAACACACACAGAGAGACTTATATTAATTATAAACTGTTTGGCCGATGGCTCAGGCTTCTTACTGGCTAGCTCTCTTTTAATTATCAACCCATTTCTATTAATCTATGTATCTCCACGTGATCTTGGCTTACTGGTGATGCCAGGACTCTTACTTCCTCAGCAGCTACATGGCATCTCCTTGACTTCACCTACTACCTTTCTTTATCCCTGTTGGATTTCCCACCTGGCTAAATCCTGCCTGTCCATTGGCTGAAACAGCTTTATACATCAACCAGTAAGAGAAACATATTCAAGCACACAGAAGGACATCACAGGTTGAGAACCACTGCCCTACACACATTAGAGCCTTTCCATTCTCCCTTTTCAACTTTTGTTTTCTTCCCTTTCTTTCCAGACTGCTCTAGAATCCTCTTGCTTCAGCCTCCCAAGTAGTTGGGATTACAGGTATATGCCACTACAGAACGAACCATTCTGACTTAAAAATGAACATCCTGGGATGAGAAGGTAATTCATGACATAATCTGAGAGCAGCAGCATTCTTGTAGCCTTGAAAGAGGGCATTGTATGAATCCATTTTGTGGGCAGGTAAAGGGAAGGTTGGATTGAATATCCTCATGGCATCTAGAGGGTCCCTGCTCCTGCCTGTGGACCTTAGACTACCTATCAGCCAATTTCCTATCTCTGGATGGCTTTGGACCTTCCCATAGCTTTCACACATGCTAGCTTCAAGCTTTCTTTTTTGTGGTTGTTGCTCCAGAGCTAGAGATGAACCCAGAGTTTTGTATATGCTAAGTCTGAGTGCTACTACTGAATTCTACCCCTCTGGCCCTATCTTCAAATCTGGTCCCTCAATGGCTCTAAGCTAAGAAGCTCTTTGCCTAGCTTCTCACAGTACCTCTAATTCGTAGGCATCCTTGCCCTGTGTGAGTGGCAACCCAGTGGTTTCCCCACCACCATCTCCAGTCAGTAGTGTCCTCAACCGTGTGATCTCCGCAGCCAGTCGATTATTCAGCTCCTGGAGGACAACAACACAACAGTGTCTGCCCACACACTCCTTGCCTGGACACCAGAGAAGGTCACTTCTCACCAGGCCTAAGAATGGAGGCCACAAGCCTTGTGCACGTACAGTACCATGTGTGAGGTAGACACTTGAGGCTGTTAGCACATAAAAGGTGTTCATGTGGGCTTGTGAGGTCATGTGAAGACTTAGGTTTCAGGACCCCTATTAGGAACCAAATTCTGTGGATGCCCAAGTCCAATTACAAAATGGCACACAACATCTGCATATATCCTCCCATATACATTAGATTATCTCTAGATACCCAATACCATGTAATTCTTAAATATTCTGTTGTACTGTATTATTTAGGGAGTAGTGGTAAGACAATAATTAGTATATGTCCAGTGCAAATGCTCTTTTCCCCTTCCTGAAAATTTTCCATCTGTGGTCAGTGGAATCTACTGAAACTCTAGGGCCAATTGTGTCTCTAGAGCTAAGATTCCACAGACCTTAAAACCCTTCTGAGTTGGGCAGTGGTGGCTCACATCTTTAATTTCGGCATTCAGGAGGCTCTCTTACGTTCAAGATCAGCCTGGTCTATAGAATGAGTTCCAGGACAGCCTGGGCTAGTACACAAAGAAACCTTGTCTTGAAAAACAAACAAACAAACAAACAAACAAACAAACAAAAGAAAACCCCCAACCTTCTGTGTGGGCAGTGGATGTATCTTGTTCCAATTGATCTCCTAAAGGCTACTTTGCTCTGTCCCTCCATCTTCTTAGGCCCCCTTTCTAGCTGATAAGTGCTTTTCTTCAAGCGACTGTGGTGGTTCAGTGATCCCAAGTAGTCCCACCCACAGTCTGGTGTGGTGTGAGGGCTAGAGAGGGCAGGCGTGATAGAGCTCCAAGGCAGGCAAAAGCAGGGTGTGGAAGAGGAGCTTACACTGAACTTGGGATCACAACCCAATCATCTGCATGTCTGGGATTCAAGTGAGCCCCAGTTTCCTGATGAACACTGAATTCTGAGAGTGTGACTTACAGAAACAAATATGAGAAGGTAAGCCCACAGTCACTAGAGGACAGAAGACCTCAACCCTGAGATAGACCTGAGATACTCCAATTAGAGGATCAGAGACTTAGAGAAGTGACCTGACTCAAGTCTCTGAAAAGGCAGATGTGGTGGTACCTTGGCTAGGTGAGGTTTAGCTGTTCCTTACCTGGTTGTGGGCATTGAGTTCCTGGTTCTCACGCTGGCATTGCCGCAGGGCCTGCCGCTCGGCCTCCAGCGCCTGGGCCAAGTGTGCATTCTCCAGGCACTTCTGGGAGTACTGTTCCGAAAGGACCTCCAGCTCCCTCTGCACCGACTGCAGCTCCTCCCTGCAGAGAGGGAATGCTTAGCCCTGCCCCACCCACTATAGGACTGGGCAGCTGGACACAGACACTACAGTGTGTGCTCACAGAGTGCCAGGGACACTTGGTAGAAATTACTGTTTTCCTGGGCCATCATAGCTGGCATACTCTGATGATGGAACTGGAGATAGGTCACTTCAAAGTACAGACACTCAGTATCAGGAAACTACCTCTAGTACTGTTCTCAGTGTTCCATGTCCAGAAGTGCCAAATCCCCAAGGCTAGAGACATGAGGAAGCTTTCAGATGAGCCTCCAGTCCAGCAAGCATGACCACTAGACTTCCTGAGTTGTTGCTTTAGACCCTGGCACATTCCACGGGCCCCAGCAAATTCTAATGGATAGATCTCCTGTTACTAACCAGAGGGTCCTAGCAGTGTTACTCCTGCCAAGGGAAAACTCACAAAGTGCTGTCCCAGTGCTGTACTTGGTGTTGCTTTCCATGCAGACAGTATGTATAATATTTCTAGAACGCTAACTGTGGCCCCTTTTGTCACAAACAGCTGTGGTACATCAGACACAAAGCAGCAGCCAGCCCCCGGCTCTTAGTAAGGCACTGCTATAGTAGCAGTGGTACAAACAAACTGGAGGATGGTGTCTGTGGTCAACGCTAACAAACAGAGGTGTTGTGTTTTGTTTTAGAACAGGGTCTCCATATATAGCCCAGGATGGCTTTGGATTTTTGTGGCCATCTTCCAGCTTTAGTCTCCTAAATGCTGGGATTACAAATGTATTTCACCATGTCCAGCTTAAGCTATGTTTTTTAAAAATGTCATTTATGCATTTGTTTCTCTGCATCTTAGAGATCAGTCTTAATTAACCTCCCCTTCCCCCACCAGCAAGGTAGTATGGGCTGTCCTTAGAATCATGGTCTCCTTACTCCCCCAAGACCAACATCAAAGTTCAAAGATATCTTAGGCTTGGGAAAGTGGCTCTCTTCCACAGGACTGACCCAGGACTAGGTGACTTACAGGTACTGCCGCCTCAGGGCTTCAATGTCCGAATTGATGCTGCTGATCTGAGACCGCTGGCTCTTCTCTAACTCCCGTTCCATCTCCTCCCGATGAGCATTCTTCATGGCTTCAATGGCTGCATGAAAGTCACAGCCCCTCAGTACCAAAATCTAGGGCTACAACTGGCAGTGGTTCTTTTTACTACATTATCCCTCCACAAGGTCAAGGGCCTTGATGTCTGCGCTTTGATGACACCAACTCTAGCAGCAGTAGGACGCCACAGAAGGCTGCTTTATCAGAGTCCAGCTCTCTGGGGGTAAACAGAGGCTGAGAATTCACAAACTAATTTCCCCTTGAAGGGCTATAGGTGTGTTACATGTGACATTAGAAAAACCCCACAATGATCAAGTAAATGTCAATGTTCTACTCATGCATGAGTTTTTGAAACAAGAGTGTCTGAGAGCTGGTTTACTTTCTTTCCCGATTATTACAATAAGCCACCGTATTGTCATTGATCATGTAAAGAGAATGCAATGCAAGATGGACAAGACACACTTGCTGGGGCTGTGTTACAGCATATCCATGCTCTGGTGAAGAGTGCTCCAAGTGATGGGCGCTTATCACAAACATCTGGAGCACTGGCTCTCAGTTTGGAGGCTCTCAAAAGGCTTGTCAAGTTGGTCCTTGCCTCACTTTGATCTTCAAAAACTTTTCTCCAAAATGAAGCTTAAGGCTAGGGCTGGTGCTGATTTGGTCCAGCACTTGCTGGACATGCATGAGGCCATGTTCAATCTCCAGGGTGGGGTGGTACACGTCTGTTACTCCAGCACCGGGGTGATGGAGGGAGGAGAATGAGCTCAGGGTTATCCTCACTTACACAGGGAGTTAAAGGATGGGCCTAGGTTAGAGACCCTACCTACCCATACCCACCACCACCTACAAAGAGGAAACTTCAATCTCAGGAAAAAACAAGGTGAAGACAATCCTATTGTGAACCGCAGGTTCAGGGACATGGGGCCCCTGTGTTCATGGACTTAGCCCCACCTGAGATGGTGGCAGCTGTCTCCTCAGCCAGGAGGCGGTCCTTTTCCTCCCGCAGCTTCTCCAGTTCTCGCTGGTGCTGCCTCTGTAAGTCTTCAATCTTCTTCTGGTGTGTCTCTTCCATGGCAGCAAAGCCTCGCTCACATGTAGCCTGTGGGATGAAGAGGGCTTATTGGTTCTCTTTGCCTCCAAGTGGCTGTCCTGTGTAACAAATAGGGCAGTGACCTGCTTGGGCCAGGAAGTGACATGGTCTCAGGATACGGCTGGTGTTTCTAGCATCAACACCAAGTCAGTGTGTAGCTACACACCCTTTGTTCTGAACTGCGTGTCATCACAACCAAATGGCACATGTACTGCCTAGAGTAGCAGACACACTGGGTATTGTTGTCAACAGGGACAAATTCTGACAAACCTGCTAGTTAGAGCAAAGGGTAGTCCATCCTCTGTGGGCTGGGGTAACAGGACCTATTTTTGGGAACCGGGGAGCTCCAGCTGATTATTAACCTCAAGGGTGTCCACAAAAGATGCCAGCATCTTTCCTGCCAGCCTATGCCTTCTCATTTCCTCTCTTTTAAAAGGGGAACAGAGGCATGCTACCCACTGAGAACCATACCACCTTACAGATACTACAGGTGAGTCCTAAGGAGTCCCTGTTCCCCACAGCCACAGAGGCTAGCTGGTTTCCCCAACCAAGTAGTAAAGCATGCCCTGTGCTCCACCTGCAGCTGGCAACTACTATGAATGTGGGTCATGCTGCCTGAACTTGTGATAGCTATTTCTGTGAAAAACAGGCTTTCTGATAAACAATCGGGAAGAATGTGGCTCTAGCTCTGTGTTCCTACCTTATCATTTTGCTAATGGGGTCAATAAAGGATGCCAAGTATCCAATTGTCATGCTTTGACATTTTTTACGCCTCACAATCACTGTGGTGCCTTTCCAAGAACCTCTATTCAGAAGCTTTAAATTCCTGTTCACATCCTGGAGTGGACTGCAAAGTTACTATCTCTACACAGCCTAGGGATAATTTCATACAGCCTGTTTACTCTTATAGACTTTGCACAGAATGTTCACTGAGGAACTTTACACTTGTGATAGTGTGTCAGTGCTCGGAATATACTGGATTTTGGCTCATTTCAGATTTTGAGTTCCATATAATGGATGCTCATCCTACTCTGATTTGAGCATTTTGGAATACAAGACGAAGATAGGGTCTGAAATTCCTACAACAGAAACACTGAGGTGTCTTTAACAACGAGGTTGCTTCTTTAACTGTAGTATGTTTGAAAGTTGTTACTCTGTAAACCAATTTTAAAAATTTGAGTGTGTCTGTGTACATGGAAGCTATGGTTGATCCTTGACACTGAGTGTCTTTCCTTGATCACGTCTACTTTATAAAGAATCTCTTATCTGAACCCAGAATCTGTTGATTTAGCTCGCTAGCCTAGCTAGCTTTCTTTGGTGATCCTTTGTAATTCTGCCATGTGCTAGAATTACAAGGGGGCCACACCATACCATGCTTACCCAGCACTTACATGAGTGTTGGGGATCCAAACTCCAGTCTCCATGCTTGCTGGCAAGCACTTTAAACACTGAGCCATTTCCCCAGCTCCAGATTGTAATTTTAAATCATCTCCAGGTCAAAACAAGTTCCTTACTGACTAAGACACAGACTCATGGCCAGTGGTGGTGAGCAGCAGCAACAGTCCGGGCCTCTCCCTTATCTGGGCAGAGATCCACAGAGAGAAATTGTTCCAGCTGGGCTCGCTCTTAGACAGTCTGGTCAAGCAAACGTGTCCAGCTGTGCCACAAGTCCCACAGAGGGCTTGCAGTTCTTGGGCTCAACCCTGAAGCTTACTCTCAACCTGTATCTTTTGTTTCAAAGGTGTTTTCTCACCAGGTAACCTGAACCCAGGGCAACCACTCTGCCACCCTGCTGCTATTTTGCTGATGTTGCCAGGCCTGGACCCATCTATCTCAGACTGTGGAGGTGCCTGTTGATGCAGAGAGGAACAGGCAATGGTGCCCCAGGCTCCCATAGGATCATTGAATACACATTTTGAACAGTTCTCATGATGCTTAATGGTTCTTAAAACATCTGGATGAAATCAGGAAAAGAATGGTGAGCAACAGTGCCTCAGATGCCTCATTAGCTATGTGGAAGGCAAAGGAAAAGCAGCAGCCTGAACATACGAGTTTCCCTTCAGTATGGAAGGAAAGGGTGTTGGGAGACAGTCACAGACACCTGCTGTGCTACACCTGTTATACATGGCAGGAACACTGGCCTGCAAAAAGACCTGGTGCAGATACCCTTGGGGCCTGCACACCTTCCAGTGGGGAAGAAGATGAAGACACAGCTACCAGGCCACCTCTGAAATCTAAGAGACGGTTAGAACCCTCCACGATTATGCCCAGGCAGCCACAAACCGAGTCTAAGATAAAGGGGAGGGGGTCCACAGAAGCATGACAAGAAGGCCGGGAGACAAAAGGGGGAAGACCCTTCTCAGACACAATGCCCACTCACTGCCAACTCTTGGGAAGGTAGGCCAGGTAAGAACGCTTACTACTTTGCAAATATTGCTGTGTTGTAAACTCCCAACCATGCTCTTTGAGAAGAGTCAGGTGGTAACTACCCTTCATAGATGTGAGACAATCCTTAGACTAATGCCTCAATTATGAAGCCAGAGGGGGTTTAGAGGGTGAGAAAGGTGAAGGGTGTGCACAGTGCCCTGGAGGCATGAACAGCCAAGGAAGATGACAGTTTACTTTCCCACAGCTGCTCTCCTTGCTAGCTTCCTCCTAGGTCATGAGTTGAGGGGCAGGAGAATGTTACTCAATTATGCCTGTACAGCAGTTGAGAGTTAAACTATCTCCTATCCCCACTCTAAGATCTCAGTTGCCCGCAATGCCCCTTTCATGTATCACCAAAGAAAACTGGCTCTGAAAAATAAATGGTGCGAAAGACCTTGAGGCTCTCAAAGTCCCGCTGGTACTTCTCCCGCAGGGTGGCCACATCACCCTCCAGCTCTTTGTGGCCCAGCTCTTCTCGCATGACATCCATTTGGGCCTCCAGCTCCTGGATGCGTTCTCGCAGTCCTGTCATGGATTCGGCCTCATCCTTGGTTGTTGGCACAGCTCTGGGCTCAGATGGTCTGGAGGCCAGTGGGGAGTCTGCGTGTGAAGGTTGGCAGAGGCTGAGGGCTCCCCGCAGGCTCCATACATAGTGTTCCTGCAAGGCCCTCAGCTCCTCCTGATGGACAGCCTGCAGCTCCCGGACCTTCAGCTGGAACCTGTCCTCCAGCATCTTCATTTGCTGTACGTGTTGCTGTTCCATGGCCTGCCTGTCTTTGACTGAAGCATCTAGCTGGCTGAGAACCCGGCTACGCTCAGCCTGCAGTGTATTTTCGGTGTGGCTCAACTGCTCCACCATGCACCTAATCTCCTCCTCATACCTGCCCTGCAGGGCAAACATGCTTTCACTGTGTTTGCTTTCTGCTTCTTGTAGACATCTCTGCTGATGGTCCATCTGGCTCACCTTGGCCTTGAGCTCAGTGTTTTCCTTTTCAATGAGGGTGATCACTTTCTGGTACTCACTCTTCTGCTTGTGGAGAAGTTCTTCATACTCCTCCTTTAGGGCCCCAACCGCTTGTGCACGCTTCTGGCAAGAGCCTCCTGTAGCCTCCTGACAGGCCTTCTTGTAAAATCGCAGCTCCTTTTCATATTCCAGTCGAATTCTGCATGCTGCATAGCACACTTGAGCCTGAATAATTGCATCTTGAACCAGTAATGAAGAATACTGACCAAGGCCCTCTAGACAAGCATCATACGAGAGATGCTGGGACATCTGCAGAAGCCTTTGGCAACCCCCAAGTTGCTCTGTAGGAGGCAGAGCTGGTAAGGCAGCTGAAATCTCCTCAAGGATGCTAGCTTTTTCTCTCAGCTGCTGGGCCAGCTCATCCTGAATGGCAGCAAGGACTTCAGGGCTCTGATGGAAAGCCTGCAAGGGCTCTTGGGAGCCCTCCATGCCTGGCTTCAGCACCTCTCCTAATGGGCTCTGGTCCCAGGATGTTTGCACCTGGTCCTCCCTGCCAGTTGGATGCCTGAGGGTTTCTAAGATCTGCTGTATTACTCTTTCAAAGTCTGGGGTTTGGTAGGCTCCCAAGATTTCTCCCAGCATGCATTTGTGCTGCTGTAGGGCTGCCTGGGTCCCCTGTAGGGTCTCCTGTATGCTCTGTAGCCTATGGTGAAACAATTCTCTTAATGACTGTGTGGCATAGCTGAGCTCTGCACGAATCCATGTGGCATCAGCCAGACTTTTGGGAATATGCTGCTGCCTGTCTCCTGACGTGCAGGCTGTTTCTTCTCCCAGTGTCCCTAGGTGCTTACTTAGGGACTCGACCTGGCTCCAGAACTCACCATTCACCAGTACCTTCTTGGCCCAGATCTCCACTGGAGCCCCAACAGAGAGGGCAGCACTTTCTTCCTTCAGTGGCCACTCCCCTGACTGAGTAAGCTCACAGAGAACACCATACACATCTGAAGTGGTATTCTTTAGAGAGTCAGCTATTTGGTTGATAAGTGAGGCCTCCAGGACTATCTGAGCAGAAAGCAGCTTCCTATGTTCCTGCTCATTCAATATGGGCTGGCAGGGCTGCTGCACAGTGGTTGCCGGGCCACTTTCCATGGGGTGTCCCTTCTCTTGCTGAGTCTGTGCCCTGCTGTCTATGGGGGATGCCCATGGCTGAAGGGCTTTTATAGCACTCACAAGCATACTCTCTATGTTAGCCAGGGAAGCTGCACATGCATCCTGTCCCTCCTCCTGGTCAGCAAATGGCAGAGACCTTAGTTTTATCCAGCAGTTTTCTAAGCATGTCAAGGCCTGACTATTTTTGACTTGGAAGTCTTCCAGCTCTTCAGAGTGGTGCTCGATGTTTGTGGTCTTTTCCTGTCTCTCCTGCTCTAGCTGAGAAGCCAGCGCACTTGCCTGTAGCAGGCTGGCATGAAGTTGCTCCCGCAGCTGCGCCTCAGTGCCAGCCCACTGCTGGTGCAATGCGAGCAATGCCTCCTGACTCTGGCCCTGCTGGCTCTCCAGCCTCACGGTCACATCTTTGAGCTTCTCCTCTGTGACATAGAGCTTTGTCTCCAGGGAGTGGATTATAGAGATGTATGTTTCAGCATCTGCAGCTGCAGGGAGTGTGCTAGGGGTAGCTTCTGAGGACACACTGTCCTCTGAGGGTGACTGGTCCTGGCTGGTGTCTGATGATGTGCTGCTAGTCCAGGCCTTTGCACACCCCTCAGGGTGTATGTATCTTTGGCACTGGATTGTAGAGAACCGGATTCTTGGCCTTTTCAAAGGTGCTCCCTGGTCAGACTTAGAGGAGCATTGCAAATGCCCCTCCCTGTCAGGCACATCTGCAGACTTTGGGGCTACCATGTTCTCCTCTCTGCTTGGGCTACCACTGCTACACTCTTCCCCCTGGCCAGCACCTGGGTCTTCATCCTCTGGCTGTGAGTGGAGAAAGCCTGGAAATACTCTGGTGACTGAGCCTAGTGGCAAAATGCCACCGTCCTCTGTTTGCTCTGTCGTACTCTGAGGCTCTTTGGCATCCTTTGGAGAATCACTTACAAATCTCCTTAGACACTCTTCCTTTTCCTGCAGCTTAATTTCTGTTTCCTCTAAGCTGCTGCCCAAGGCAATCATTTTAAGCAAAGCCTCATTGAGGTCTTGGTCTTTCTTTTCTAGGACTCTTTCATGTGCTTCCTTAATGTGCTTGAGCTCCTCTTCCTTTTCTCTCAGTAGAGTGCGCACACTCTGTAGCTGGATAGAGACCCTGTGGTGTGAGTGCTCTAGGTTCTGGTAGTCAGCTTCTTTTCCCCTCAGCTTCTCTTGGAGTTCAGCCACATCCCCATCAGATGTGGCCACACGTTCCATGAGCTCTTGGAATTGTTGCTTGATGAGATCCCGTTCATCATGGAGGCTCTGTACGTGCTGGGCTAACTGGCGGATGCTGGCCTCCCGGGCCTCTAGCTCTTCCTCTAGCAGCTGCACCTGTTCACTGCCCTTGCATTTCTCACTCAGTTTCTCTTTCTGGAGAGCCTCTACCTGCTGCACATGGCCTTGTAGCTGCTCCTCATAGGCACTGGCCTTGTCCTCTACCTCTTTCAGGTTCTGCAACAGTGCCTGTTTCTCTTGTTCACAGCTCTCCAGCAATAGTGTATAGTTCCTCTTCAACTTCTTCTCCATCAGATTCTGGGCCTGTTCACTGGTACCTAGCTGCTGGCTGAGCTCAGCAATGCATTCCTGCAGCCTCTGCACCTCCTTCTGTCGGTCCCGTTGCAATGCCTGCTGTGTTTCTAGGCCCCTCAGTTCCTGTGTCTTCTCTAGCAGCAAGGCTTCTGTACTTTTGAGTTTCTGCTCACTGGCCCTCAGCTGACCACTCAGCATGGCCTTGCTGTGCCGCCATTCCTCCAGTTGCTCACGTACTTTACCCTGCTCCAGCTTCAGCTCGCCCTTGAGCTCGGCTAGAGCCTGCTCCTTAAGGGCCAGCTCTGCAGCTGCATTACCAAGTCTTGCTTGCAGGGTTTGAATCTCAGCCTCATGATGCCGGATTGCATCCTTGGCCTCCCCATAACTATGTTTCAGGGTCTGAATCTGCTGTGTGACGAGCTCTTGCCGTCGGCACTGAGCTTCCAGCTCACTTTGGAGGTCTTGGTTGACTCTATGGAGCCTCTGCCAGGCACCCGATGGGGAGGTGGCCACTTCAGTCTTAAAAAAACCGATTAAATACTGGTTAGTAACACTCAGGCCACCCTGTTCTGAGTGTCACACCTCTGGCCAGGATCAATCATAGAAAAGCTCCTTGGTGGGTTTGGCTTTAATCCTTTGCACAACTTTTTTTTTTCTTCGTTTAAAGAAAAAAAAATCAAATTAATGTGGGTTTTGGTTTGTTTTGTTTTTTGGTAAATATAGCTGCTTCCACATAAACAGAACACATGGGGAAAAAACATCAAAAAACAGCTCTAATTGAACAGCATCTAGAAGAAATAAACCAAATAAAGCTGAATAATGGAACACACTGAGAAGTATAACAGAGACCGAAGGACAAAAGGACACCGCATTTGTTTTGCAAAACAAAGTATGCGGTTCTAGACCACATGTTTAAAGCAGCACAGGGCATAAGGCACAAGAAAGTGACGTCACTTCCTTCCATGATAGGAAGAGAAGGAAGGCAGGTAACTACTTGAGAGATGCCAGCAAGGTAACATTGGAACACTTCCTTTAGAAAGCGTAGTCAGGCCTCCACCGTAAGGAGAAAACTAATCTCTACCTGCAAGAAGACAGAACAAGGGGAATGCAGATCATGAAGCAAAATGTGGTAACAAAACAAACCTTTGTAAAACTCAAAATAAGAGTGAAACATGCAAAACCCAAAATAAAACACAAAACTCCCCAAACTGAGAGACACACAGAGGAGACAGAACTAATATAAAGCAGGGGAAACAACATGGGTAAGTTGAGAGCCCCACCTAGAATCTGGTCTGCCCAGGCTCCCTCATTCTACTGGTGGGGAAACCACAGATGTGACACTCAGGCAAAGTTCCAGTTCCACACCATGTTCACCATCCAAAGCATGCAGCCCCTCCCAGCAGTTAGCACAGTACCCTACCCGAGCTTGCATCTCTTAATCCTTACTGTCCCAAAAGGCCTTTTGCCCCTTTTCCTTTAACTTTATTTCCAAAGCTTAGGGGTAGTCATTATTAGATTCAGTGGGAAACTGGCCCAGCTGCTGACCAACAGGGCCTTCAGTGTAGATGCACATGATAGTCCATGTTAGACACACAGGTTAGCAATGTGCAAAGCTCCGAGGCAGTGTCTTTACCACCATGTCTGAAATCAAGTCTTGTGTGATGGACCCAACAAAGGCTTAGGAAAAGGCCTGAATGAATAACCTAAAGGATTTCTCAGTAGGCTGTGTAGACAGGAGATGCCTGCCATGACCACCAGTTCCAGGCAATAAGGTCAGAAGCAGGGTATCAGTGAGTCTGTGGGAAGTGAAGAGGGTACAGTAATGTGGGTAGGGGACGGGGTGAGCGCAGGACACATACAGCAGTACGAGGGACAGGACCTGGTTGAGGAGAGTGAGGACTCCAGGTCCACATGCACCTTGGTGACGAAGACTGAGAAGGTCAGTGCACAAGGGTCTGTCTGGGTATGTCAATAGCCAACTTGGCAGAGACTAGGACTTTGAGAGCTAAAGGCCCTTGGAGAACATTAGTTCTAAATGACACGGGCAGGAGGCTGCTGCTGTAGGGGGTGAAGTATGCTTCTGGGATCAGTGGCAGAATCAGACTAGAACATAGAACCCCAAGACCAATCTAAAGCCAATGTCTTATCCTTGGTCTTTTCTGGGAGCTTAAATTCAATTCTACCATTCCATTCCACTATCCCTAGCACTTATTTGTTGATTCTCCCATCAACGTGACAGTGCCCAGGGCGAGAGTATGTCCCCTTCATGTCTCAGAGCTAGCACTAAACCGAGGCAGCCAGCTATAGGACAACACATGCCACCTGTCTTCATACCAGGCTACCTTGAGACCTTTTTTTAAAATATCCACATCAAGGGTACTCTAGGGATCTGAGTGCAGCAGGATTCTGGAAGATGCCTTCAAGAGAAGGACACTGGCCTTGGGCTGTCAGCTCAGCACCTAGCTGCCACCACTTTGACCTCATTCCTGGTTGGATTAGGTTGGCTAGGTGGTCATATGTCCTCTTGAAACTTAGGCTGTTAAAAAGGAATGGTTAGGTGGGTGGTGGTGCAGGTCTAGCTCTGCCACTAATTTGTGTTGGTTCTAAGAAGGCACTTGGCTTGCTGTCTTGCCCAGTTTTTTCAGAATATATATAACGGGCCCTATCTCACTATGGTGAACACAATGAGAAACAACATACAGATAAGTGGTTTTCACAAAAGCACAATGTCTGGAAAGCCCAAAGGAGAGATCACCAAAATGATTTCTTGACCAAAAGATAATCCTTAGCTGTAGAGATTTGGGGCACGCTCCCCAAAATGAATGTCCTAGTAGCAAGGAAAATGTACAGAATATCACAGCATTAAGAACCCTTGGTCCTTGTTGACCAGAGCTCTGCCATGTTTGCACATTCCTAGCCTGTGGGCCTGAGCAGACCTTTCACACCGAAGCCCCTGGGTGCATTGCTGACTGGGCAGCTGCCCACCCTACCTGCAGCACATAGCCCTCCCGGGCACTCTGCTCTCGGCCCAGGGCCACCCTTAACTGGTCCTGCAAAAGTCGGTTCTGCTCTAGAAGATCCGAGGCCTCTTTCTGGCTCTGCTCCAGCTGTTGGTGAAAATAAACAAATACACACACTTCACAAACATGATGACACAAGTGGCCAAAACAATGGGGCTTGTTCATTGGCCTCAGACATCTCCCTGGATACACAGCATATAGAACTGAAGGGTCCAGCTCAGGCTGTACACAATATCAACACAACTGCTCCCTCTGGTGGCTAAGGGACACATTTTCTGCTCCTGCCCCAATAAGCTTCAATATTGGCTCACAGTTGTGCTATACAGGCTGAAATACAGGTGGAAAGTTCCTATCTGGGGAGGTGGCTGTGTTCCACTGACAAAAGAAGGCTTTACATCTTGATCAAAAGGAAGAGTGTGTGGGGTTCTCTGGCATAGTCATGTAAATCTCACTTCAGGTCCTGCTGTATTTCTACTGACTACTTCATCTGATCAGGTTTACAGAATAAATCCCACACAAAGTTCTGGGATACTCTTAAATAAGACACAGAAACCTGTAAATTTTCTATATTCTTATTTTCAATAGTCTCAAAGTCACCATCCACCTTGCCCCAAACTTCTGAGAGCCTCAACGATGCTCTGCTGTATGGGGGTGGGGGCTTCCCTGGTCTGCTGGACCATGAGGGGCAGGGGATGTTAGCTCCTGAGCCCCAGACTCAGTTAAGAACTCAGCGTGTGGCCTGCAGGCCAGAAGGCTTATTTTGGTAGCCTAGAATGATGTAAGTTTGAATTACATTATTTCATTTTACTTGTATTTTATTAATGGATATAGAAAATGGAAAAGTCAAAGTGTTGGTGCTAGTGATTTGTCAGGTTCATACATTTAATAAGACAGAAAAAAAAAAAAACCCAAAAATAAAAGAGGCAAAGAGAGGCATGCTGAAGTGGTAGGTAGATCATCAACTGGCTATTATGGAAAGAATGTAAGAGTATGCCTGATGCATGCTGAGGAAAATGCCCCTAAGGGGGCAAAAATCACACACAACCCTAGGTAGGCTGAGTACATATCTCAAATACCTCATGTGAGTATTCTGGATTTTAGGGTTGTTGTTTTGCCTTTGAAATGATTCTGGAATAACTGTATATACACAATGAGCAATGTGGAGGATGGGACCCAATCTAAATATGAACTTCAAGCATGTTACTTTATAAACATGACCTCAGTTATACATGTGATTTGGACATTTTGATTTGTTTTGGCATGCTAGGATTGAACCCAGGGCTTTGTGGATTATACAAATGCTGTAACATTGGGGTCATATCCCTAGTCTTCTATATAGTATAGTATTTACTAATTTTATACAGAGACAAACTTCCACGGTAGGGAACTTTCTGCTTGTGTCTTGCTATCACTAAATTGTGACTTTTGGATTAAGAATACTCATCCTGTACCTCTTTGGTAATGCAACTCATAAATGTACATGCAGATGTAATCTGGACACATTCTCTGAGAATCATATGCTATGAACACAGGGGCTAGCTTATATGACTCTCTACCAAAATGCTAGAATGCATCCATCTAGTAACTGCCTTACTCCATCTCACCACAGCCCTGGGTCACATCCCTACTCTCCTATAGTACTGTATTGAGTAATGTTGTGCATGTAAGAAGGGAGCTGCCCCACATTACCTCTTTCTCTAGAAGAGAGGTGAGCTCATGTGTGGAGAGCCGCTCACTTCTGTCTTCCAAGGATAGGTGCAGAGGGGCAATAGGCACCTGTTTCTCTTCCCTGAGAGGGGTAGTTTCCACTTGGTGCCACCGCTGCTCAATTTCCACATGGACATTCTGTGTCTTGAGGTCAGGGGGTCCCAGGAGCCCTGGGCTCCGGTCTATGTCCATACGTAGGGCTGTATCCTCCACACCTGGTCCATCAACAGTGTCCAGCATCCCAAAGCGCTTGCGGCGCTCTTCTCGCCGTCGAGCTCGCTCGCGCTCCAGCTCACCTGGCTCGGCTTCAGGACGCCCAGGTTCACCAGCATCAGAGGACCCCACAGTGCTGGCCCTTTCTTGAGCCAGGGCCTGTTGGATGGGTCGGAATTCAGCCCAGTCAAACGTCTTGGAGCGGCCCTCCCGCCTCCGTTCTCGAGCACGGCTCTTCTTCTGCTCAGGGTCTGGCTCTCCTGGCTCAGCTTCTTGCTTCTCATTCGGCCTTGGGCAGGTCTCAAAAGAGGATGTGCTTTTATTCTTTTCCTCAGGCAATGAGCTATGGGGCAGTGAGGAGACACGAACCTGTCAGGGAGCCTAGACATTTCAGCAGGTCCCAGGGCCAGCCCACACCTGTTCTGATCCTCAAAGTGGCTTCTAGTGTAGGGACAGAATGTCCCACCTGTGCTTGGTTCTCCCTTGGAGACCTCAAACCTAGCTGATGAGAAGGCAGAGGAAAGAGCTTCAGCTGTTCCTGAGACTTCAGTTCTCACCCTTTAAAAAGGAGTGTCATGGTAGTCATATCATGGATGAGGGAGATAAAGCCAATGGACTTGTTTAAGTCCCACAGGTGAGAAGGGTCCAGACACTTGGTGAGGTTGGTTATGAAGCAACCCTACATTATGCAGTAACAGAACTAGCTCTCTTCAGAAGGGCTCATGGATTTCTATAAACAGGAGACACCATTAGCTCTATTTAGAAATATCACTCCAGCTCTAGGCATGACAGATCAGTCAGTGTAAGGCAGAGACTATCTGTGGGTCAAGGGGACAAGTGATTCAGGTAGCCATAAGTCTACCCCACCACAGAGGAGGTAGCATAGTACCCACCATTTTGAGGAAGGAGGTGACTAGGGGCACAGTCAAGCCTGCTCATGCCTCAACCTACCCAGTAATAATAGGGAAGAAGTTGGTTAGTTTGAAGGTTATCTGCCTTTTTTCCCAATCTTCCCCAAGGAAGATATCTAGGAAAGCCTCTATCTACTCCAGCAGGAAAGGGGGTCAGGAGACCACCACTGACAACATGGCAAGAGGTTAAGAGGGCATACTTGACAGTACAAGTCCCAGAGATTGCTAGACGGCCCTGGTCTTGTACAAATCTTAACAGAACTGAAGTGAGCTGGTGATAGGAGGGCCCAAGGGGAAAAGCCAGGGAGCACTTGCATTATACTAGGACCAACAAGGAGATTGTCAAAGGAACATCAAATAAAAGAGACTGATTCTCATTACTTTTGGATCACTTTTCCTGGAAGCAAACAGTAAGAATCAAAGTGCTTGGAGCACTGAGATTGCTCAGTGGGTAGGAGTACTTGCTACAAAGCCCAGCCCAGGTCCTTCCTGGAACCCACACGGTGGAAAGAGAGAACCAACTCCTATGAGTTATTTTCTGACCTCCATATGTGTGCAACAGCAAACGTGCACACAAAAAATAAATGTTAAAAACAAGCAAAGTTGTTCTCTGACCTCTACACATGTGCTGTGACAAAACCCTCTCCCACCTCCCCCTCTAGCCCTCCCTCACACACACAGATGTAAGTATTTAAACAAAAATCAAATGCTTTAGAGCAGTAGGATCAGCAAGGATCCAGTTTAAGATCAAACAAACATGCATATAAAAATGAGCTGGAAGGGGCTGAATCTATGGTACAGTGGTTAAGAGTACATGCTGCTCTCGTAGAGGACCTGGCTTGGTTTCCAGCACCTACATAGTGGCTAACAATCATCTACTAAAAGTGAGTTGCAGCATGGCACATGCCTGTAACCCAGCACTTGGGAGGCTAAGGGAGGATGGCGGCGTGGGAGATCAACCTGTGCTATATAACAAGATCTTCACTCAGGAAAAAACCGAAACCACCCAGAGTTGAGCTTTTAGAATCATGAGAAAATTGGTGAAATCTCAGGTCTATCTATATGGGGAGTTGAAATTGACACTTGGGGAACAAGCAACAGGGATCCCTTCTCCCAACCCATCCCTTCTCTTGTAATACCATGAGATATCCTCACTACAGACAACATGGGACAAAAATTAGAAGAGAAGCAGGGCAAAACTTGCTCTCTGATACTGCTATCTTTGCTTCTAATGCCATCTGGTGGTCTTGTAGTTATAAATCATGTTTCCTCAACATAAGCCAAACAGAACATAGGCTAAAAGCAAATGGGTATGCATGCCTGAAGACACAGTAAACTATAATGTAGATGGCTAACCAGGAAGACAATGGTATGAAAGAGAGAGAAGCACCAGGTCTCTATGTTTATACCCTGGGCCTCAGTCCTTCCATGGAGCACAGCATAAACATGTACCTATGAGCATTCTTGGCATCTGCCCTGAACACAACATTGATTTCCTCCTGGCATGGTTCACTCCATGACCCTCCATTGGCACATGGCCTGGGCGGGGCAGTTCAAGTGCCTTTTTCATGTTGCTTGCGGCCTTGTACTACCTCTTGATTAGAGGAGCCATTTTGAGATGGAGGGCATGGGGCCACTGCTCATTTGCCAACAGTTCTTCTTAAAAAGATCTTTTTTTGAGACAGGTTTTCTGTCCTTTGTAGAACAGAGAACTCACAGAGATCTACCTGCCTCTGTTTCCTAAGTGCTGGGATTAAAGGAATGCGCCTCCATTGCCTGGAAAAAATTTTTTAATTCAATTTTATTTTATATGTACGGATATTTTGCCTGCATGTGTGTCTGTGCACTGTGCGCATGTAGTGACTATGGAGGCCAGAAAAGGGTGTTGGATATCCTGGAACTGAGCATAATGTGGGAATTGAACCTGGGTCCTTTGAAAGAGCAGTTAGTGCTCTTAGCTACCGAGCTATCTCTCTAGTCCCCTAGCACAGTTGAGAGATGGCAGATTTATATCATACTAGTTCTGTAATGCATAAATCAGTACATACTGTTATGGATGAAGAAATGAACATATAACCGATGCCATAAAGGGGGCTGAAGACAAGAGTTTCCTTTCCTTTCTTTCTCATTCAAAAAGAAATAGAACCAGCCAGAATGACGCAAAAGTTAGAGACAAGAATAGGTGTAGTTAATATGTTGCTACAGGCCAGTAAGCCTTGGCCATCATATAACCACTCCTCTGGTACCAAAACTACATGGTGGCAACATGAACCAATAGAGGCAACAAGACACACAAGATGAACCTGGACGTGGCAGAGTAAACCTTGGCACACATAGCATCTTTGCTGTCCTGAAGATGAACACTAGTAGATCTGGAATCTTCAGAGCAAGAAGCGGAGGCATGTAGCATGTTCTGAGGAATATATACTACAGCATGCAAACACAGGAGAGAACACAGTTTTCAAATGCGGGCTTTAGGACCCACAGTCTCAGACAGAAGCTTCTCCTGATTATACAAAACCCAGACAGATATAGGTGTGAGATAAGAAGATTCTTGAGGAAATACAAAACTGCAGTGCAAAACTACAATTGCAGCTCAGGCTGCTCCCACCCAGCCAGGCCACAGCTACCAGAGAAGGCCCATAGTGGAGCCCGAGCCCATCCTGAGAGCTGCACTCTGTTGACAAAGATGTTCATGCTGAGGATAGGCATGAGGGTGACCAGTGTGGCTGACCAGGCCAGCAGAGGCGGAAAACAAAGAATCACAGGAACAGGAGATGAATACAGCCAGCTGACAGTGGGCCAGAAGGAGGAAAGGAATTCATGTTGTAGTGTTTCTGGGCTCAGGCCTCAGGGAATGGTGATTAGTAAGGTCTCCATCTTACCTGGTCACATCTGGGGCAGATGCTGGGAGCACATGTTTCATAATAGTCTGGATCCAGTTCCGTCGTATGCCAGATGTCATGGCTGACAGGGTGAACTCACCCTCCTTGGTCTACACAAAAAATACTAACCATGAGTCATCAGCCCGCAGGGAAAAGAACTAGGCTAGGTGACTTTCCTAGGAGTATTGCATATGACCTGCTTAAAACAGGCAGACTAATAGGGCCAAACTCTGAGGGAGTGGTGAACTGGGTATCACCTAAACAAGGCAGTACACAATCACTAGTTCTTATTATGTAGTAACAGCAGCCTGTACACAGACAGATAATCATATGTGTCCCTCTCAAGAAGCTCTGCTAGATCAAGGGACAAGAACTGGCTGGGAGCAGGGAGAGTGGTGGCCAGGCCTAGCATCCTGCAGCCTCAACATAGGTGCACAGTATGACAAAGGGACTGCCTGGGGACTCTACTTGCTCTGCAAGGGCAGCAAGATGCACCACATCATTCTTGTCACCATCTAGGTGATGAGAATTAAGACAGTGGCAGAGGAAAGGTGATGGAGAGACAGGGCATCACTGGCTGGAGCGGGGTCAGGAGGAATCTGTTCACAGTGGGGGCACTGCAAGCAGATGGGAAAAAAGAATCTAAAACTGTCAGGAGCACACCAGCAAATCAGCTAGTAGGAAACAAAACCAAGACAGCTTGGGGGCAGGTACTGGTATGATAGGGGTTGTAATACTATAGACAACATGTGGGTCATTGAGCAGTTACCCAACCTCTCCCTCCATGGTGGGCTGTCATAAAACTAGCTCACTCCCCTTCATGGAATACAACTGTGGAGTACACAGCAGCATGGGCTCCATTCACATTCTTTGCTAACCCATTCAACCACTGGTACAGGTGCTTCCAAAGTCTGGCCTCAGCTTTGCTGGTGAGCTTTCTTAAGTGTCAGGGCTACTTGCCTAGCCCATGCTCTCAAAAGACCCATCATTGCCTCAAACCCTCTATTGGCTAGGAGTGCAGAGGATCCATCTCCACTGTGAAGTCTCTGACCAGTGTACATGGAACCCTCCAACATACCAAGGGTTGCAGGAGCTCTCAGGTCCTAACTCAAAGTTCTTCCCTGGCGTCTTCAGCCCCTCCTTCCTTCCTTGACCACCACACACTACTACCTCTTGGTCTCCCTTCTAATTGCCCCCTTCTCTCATGCAAGTTCTGCCATATATATCTTACTAACTAAGGCACATTCCTGGTATCCACAACAGTCAGTGTTTTCCATGCCTTGAGACAGTATTTACTCCAGCATACATTTGCTGGTCTCAGGTTCTACCCATCACCACTTCTCCATTAGCACTCTTGTCTGAACCCTCAGGGAGACAGGCCCACCACTGGCCTCAGCTAATGTGCTGAGACAGCAGAGTTCTCAGACTGTGCAAGCACTGCCTTGAGACATCTGCTAATCAAGATGAAGATAGGGAAAGAATCAGGACTCTCACTGGAAAAAAGGTTCATCTCAGCATTCATACTCCAGAAATGTTCTATCTCCTTCAAGGGGAACAGGAACAGGACACTGCAGTTGGGCAAAGAGCTAGGCCACGGGAACAGCTATGGCTCCTCCTTCAGACACCCAGTACATGCAGTACAGTCATGGTCAGTTGCCTAGGAATTGTGCTAAGCTCCTCCTAAGATCAAATCCACTGGCCTTCGGGGGTGTGGACTGGTCCCAAGTTTGGTGGGTTTGAGGCAGCTATTGTGTCTGAACAACTGAACACAGCAATAATCTGAGTTCTAGGTCCCCAAACCATAAAGATCTTTTCCCCAGTGAGCCCACCAGAATTCTATCCTTAAGCCTATTCTACCTGCCATCACTTCAAAAGTTCTGGTGAGGGGCTACAAAGGTTTGCCTGAAAGGAGGGGCTGGCTTTGTCTTGCTCCTGAGACAAGTCTAGCATTCTGGATGACTGCAGCCTGCCTAGGACCCCCACTTGGTAGTGATAGTGACAAGATAATAAATATAAGGGACAGACTCCTGCATCAGAAAGAACAAACACTAACCATGAATCTGAGCTTAGAGATGGGTACCAAATAAAAGGAGAGTAACCCAATTGACTATAACAAGTATGAAGCCTCACTGAAGCTTCAAGGCAAATGTCCCAGAAAAGCCTTAGCCTGATTCCAGGCAGCCCTTAATCTTTTATTCACCATACTCTTCATCCTTCTTACACTCCAACATTAAAAAGAAAAGAAGCAGTAATTTCTGTAGCAAAGCCTTTCAAAAGCCTTGGGGAGAAAGATGCAGAAACCTATCTTTTTGTCCACACCATATATCAGGAGTACAGGTCAGCAGCCACAGGACAGAGGTTATCATGCTAACAGTAAAGACTGAATGCTCACCACACATGTTAAGATATAACCCAGCTGGTCAAGTCCATCCATCCCCAGACTCACATGTATCTGAAAGCCATAGTTTCTCTGGACTGGATACTCGGTGACATTGTAACAGGTAGACAAGTCAATTTCTCCATCTAGGTCAGCTGCCTGAAGAGAAAAATGAGAGGGTGTGAAGATTCAGGAAGAGAAGATACCCAAGAGATCACATTTCTGAGTGATGTCTTCCACGGAATGTCTTCACAGGATTAGACCTTGGCCAATTGTCCTACAACTGCCAGATCCAAGTTCCCTCTCTTGGTGTATCTATATCACCATTTCCCTGTGTATCTAGCCAAATGTTTAAGGAACACCTGTCATTCTTTTACATGTTTAAATAGTAAAAAGACCCTCTGTGCTGGCTGGATTTCTGTCAAATTGACATAATCTGAGTCATCTGGAAAAGAACCTTAACTGAGGGGTTTCCTCGTCAGATTGCCTATAGGCAAGTTAGTGGAGGTATTTTCTTGATTGGTGTGGAAAGGCCTAGCCCACCATGGGCGTTTTGACCCCTGCATGTAGTCCTGGGTGGTATAAGAAAAGCAAGTTGAGTAAGTCAGAGAGAGCAAGTCTGCGAGCAGTACTCTTCCGGTCTCCGCTTCAGTTCCTGCCTCCAGTTCTTGGCCCAACTTCCCTTTGTGATAGACTAGACTGTAAGAAGAAACAAACCCTCTCCTCCCCAGACTGCTGTAGCTCATGGTGTTTATCACAGCAAAAAGTAAATTAAACACACTCTAAGAGTTTAGTATGTGTGGAGTTATCTATTGATATTTTCTGTATTAAAAGTTGGAGATTTTAGGCCAGGTGTTGGTGGCGCACACCTTTGATCCCAGCACTCAGGAGGCAGAGGCAGGTGAATCTCTGTTGAGTTTGAGGCCAGCCTGGTTTATAGAGTGAGTGCCAGGACTGGCTCCAAAGCAATACTACAGAGAAACCCTGTCTTGAAAAACCAAAGGGAAAAAAAAAGTTGGATATTTTAAACATTATATATTCACTTAAGGAAAACTTTAATAAAAGCTGAGTGTAGTGGTCCACATCTACAATTCGAACACTTGGGAGGTTGGGGAGGAGTGCTGTGAGTTTAAAAGCTAGCTTGAGCTACATAGCAAACCCTTTTCATGTTAAAATGAAAATAAGATTAAAATCAAAGTATGACTAACAATCATTGGTTAGAGTGACAGTGTTTACATTTCTGCAGGTTTCTTACATGACTGACGTTGGAGAGGATACTGGACTCTTCTACGTCTGTATTCAGTGCTCTATGTACTATTTCAGCTAACATGAGTGAAGACAAAGTGGTCTAACACAGAGATGGAAAAAGAAGAATTTTCAAGGAACTAGCTGGTCTTCCTTGATGAATAGCCATGTCTCAAAGCTTAACTGCAATCACGGAATCTACAGTCCTATTAGTGGCTATTCTGTGCTGTTAACATTGAAATCCAGTTCTATCCTTTGAAAAATTCTTTTATCTGACATGTTCTTAACATTAAATATTGGTAACAGAAAACAATAAGCTATGTATAACTTTCAAATGTCTACACAATTCAATCTGCAGAAGCAAAAATGCTATACCACTGCCTATTCCATCAGAAGACCTTATAGATAAAGAGAACCTGTTGAGATTATGAGTATGAACCTTCCAAAATTCTTACTTTCTTGTCTTGGTACCAAGTCTCTGAACACTACCTAGGCTGGTCTCAAATTCTTGGGTCACATGACCTCCCTGCATCAGTGTCTTGAGTGGCAGAGACTACAGACAGATATGTATCATTGTGCCCAGACTAGTTTTTCTTTGAAAATATTAGAAAAAAAATGTGTGAATATTTTATCTGAATGGCTGTAAGTACACCGTGGAAGAGTAGTATATCCCTTGGAACTGTAGGTTCAGGCAGTTGTGAAAGCTTATGTGGCTCGCTGCAAGAGCAGCAAGTTCTCTTAACTGCTGATCCACCTCTCCAATCCAATTGTTTTTTTCTTGAAAGCACTTTGGCAACAAACTATCCTTGAAGGAATAGAGTTTATTTTCATGAAAATGCCTGCCAAACCCTCAAACAGTAAGCAGAGCTTATGGGTCAGCTGTTTCTTCAAATGACAATCTACAAATAAGTGGCTAGTTCAGCTGGTAACTCAGTAATTGTACAGATGTGCTTCTATAAGGCTTTTGCATGCAGCTGAGTGACTGACAGATGTTTCCATTTAAAGAACAATAAAGCAAGGGACTGCTTTATTTTATTTTTATTTTATTTATATTTATTTTTTATAAAGGTGCTTCCTAGACAAGCCTCATGATCCAAGTTCCACTCTAGAACACATTTAAAGGTAATGGGAGAGAGATAACTTCACAGTTATCCTCTGATGCCCACAAGAGAGCTGTGGCATGTGTGTACCCACACAAAAATCATGTGTGTGTATGTGTGCACATGCACACATGCATGTACACATACACACACGCTAATAAAAGTTAAAAAAGAATACTAAAGAGATGAACATTCAAATGTTGCAACTTAAAAAAAATATCAAGCACACACCTTTAAGCCAGTACTCAGGAGGCAGAGGCAGCCGGATCTCTGTGAATTCCAGGCCAGCCTGGTCCACAAAGCAAGTCCAGGATAGCCAGGACTATTCACAGAGAAACCCTGCCTTGAAAAGCCAAAAATAAATTAAAATAATAAAAAATAAAAACCAAATATACATATATAAGTAAATAAAATTAAGGACCTAGTTTTGTTGCTTTAAAGTAATACTAGTGCACTTACTGTTGGTACAGTCTGACTTTGGCCTACTGCAAGGCATTGGTAGTTTCATCTAATTCTGCTTTTGTGTCATCAGTGTTATATCAACACAGTTCTGTCGGTAGCACAGTTTTGACTCTCATAACACATTTCACTAACTACTACTACTCTAGAGGCTGGTGAGATACTTCAGCAGGTAAAGGTGGTTATGACCAAAACTGATTGATTACCTGAGTTCAAGTCCTGGAATCTACTTGACAGGAGGAAAAAACTAACTCCTACAAGTTATCCTATGGCATCCACTAGTGTCACACAGCACAAGTGTTTTCTCTTATGCTCTAACATACACAAAATGACTTTTAATGTAGCTCCTCTACCACAGCAATACTAAGTTAATCTGTCCAGTGACTCAATTCATCACACAATACTTTTGCTAAAAACCAAAGACAAAACAAAACTAGAGTATACCCTGAGTACTAACTTCATTGTTCTTTTTATTTTTTTAGATTTATTTATATGCATGTATGCCTGTGTATCATGTGTGTGCCTGGAATTGGACTCACAGATGGTAGTGAGCCACTACGTGGGTGCTGGAAACCAAACCCAAGTCCACTACAAAAACAAATTCTCTTAACAGCTGAGCCATCGCTCCAGCCCCACTTCATTGTTCTTAAAAGAATATAGAAAAGAATTGCCAAAAGCCACTGTACCAAAAACCTAATTCAAGGCCTCAGAGCATGGCCAGTGTCTGATGTAGGAGGCTGTTGTGCCATCAAAGCTGGATCAGTTGCGAGCACTATCCCATTAGACTGAGGTTATGATACCCACGGCAATAGGCCACCTTTGCACAGATTTCAGCCCTAGAGTTTTAGATGCCACTTTTGCCTGTAGTTTTCTTACCTCCTCAGCCATGGAATCCCTGTAGTATCTCAGGCTCTGATCAGCCAGGACAAACCAGTGTTTCTTCCACTAAAGGAGAGAAAAATAAACATCCAACTATTCTGCAACATACCTGATGCCTTTCCAGCTGATTTTAGGCACTCTGGAGAGCACAGGTAAAGCAGTCAACAAACAGATGATTGTTCTGGCAGGCAGCCATGCACTCATGACCTCAGGGGGGCCCTGGTTAAGATGCACTCCAGCAATGAGGCAGTGGAGAATCGTGGGCCTTGGCCAGCTCTGTGCCCCAGAGCGTAGTTGGTGACGTGCTTTGCAGGCCTCCACCTAACTTCAGAGGCTGCAGACAGGTCTGTTGGGTCTATCACATGGAAAGGTGGCTGTGAAAAGGGTGCTGAGAGGCACAACCACTTGGCTGATATACCAGATGTGTGAGCCCCACTGTGCCAGCGGGCACAAACTAACCTGCTAAAGTCCCAATCTTCACTCTGAGGAAGGGAACTTGAATCTTCAGGCAAGGCCAAGGGCATTGGATATGGTGGTAGAAGGAGAAAGAGGGGATGCTTTGGCACAGTCTTCAAAGGCAAAAAGGAACTAAGATAGTAGAGTGGGTTTTTATGGGCCTCTAAGGCAAGGACCTGGTAATAGTCACAATTCTCAGGACCTAATGGTGCCCCTAAAACTGAGGTGGTCTCTCCAACACAAGGATTTTGCAGCCCTATGTGATTGGCCATATGGCTGCCTTGTATGGACATACAAGCCAGCCCAGTCATACACTGGCCATTCTTGCCTCTGGGGAAACCTAGATTCTTAAGAGAACTTTTAGGAGTGATCATATCCAGAATCTAGGACTGCAGGATATCCACAGGCCAAGGGCATGAATCAGGGCTCAAGACCCTGCTAGGGACGAGACAAGCTGGGACTTGCATCTGTTTCCCAGTCCTCCAGGCCACTTATATACTCACCTGGCCATCCTCATATTGCTTGGTTAACCAGCCTTTCTTGAAATTCAGTAGGTCAGGCTAAGGAAGAAAAAAGAACAGCTCATGGGAAACCATCGTGGGGTCCCCATTGATGGACAAAATCTGTCCAACCATGTTGTTTTCATCTAGATGAAGCAGCATTAGAACAGTTTTTACCACCCACCAGGTGAGCCTGCCCACTCTTGCCCCAGCATTGCTGCCCAGAGACATATGCCCCCAAGGAGGGAGCTGAGGGGCAAGGAGAGACAGCACAGCTGCATTTAACCTGGGTACACAGACTGCCTACTTGTTCTGAGGTCTCTATTCCAGCTTATCCAGGGTTTGTGTGCATCCTGCCATGGGGCACAGCACAGGCCCTGATGGATAGTTCCCAGCCACAGAATGTACAGGGAGACACCTGCAGTAACAGCTGGAAGGGGAATCCAAAAGCTCCTGCTGAGACTGCAGAAGGACTGAAGGCCAGAAGCCTGAGAGGCAAACCATATCTGGGGTGGAGAAAGCAGTAGTCCAACTTTCAAGTTACTCTTCTACCAAGAGGAAGTTCAGGCTTATTCCCTATACAGAAGGTAGGTCAGGCAGCACCAGCAGACCTGAGTGGGTGCTATCTACTTAGGAGCAGCCTGCATTCTGCTGGGGACTGGTTCTCATCTGCTACTAGCACACCTGGAAGGCCAGGCTTAGAAGACCCCAGCCACCCCTTCTGTGGTCCCCAGCGCTCTTAGGTCTTCCACAGCTGTCCTGATCAGAAACTGGTTTTGATGTCTCTTACTACTCCAGGGACAGGGAGTGATCCAGAGGAATGACAACAATCAGGACAGGCATCCTGGGAGTTACTGCTCCATTGTGGAGAGGTCACAGTAGACCCTTGCCTTGCCTCAACAGACCATGGTAGGCGAGGTATCCCTCTGTGGAGCCTTGCTGTAACCCATGCTTCATAAGACTTCCTTCTACAAGAGTTGTTTGAAGTATGAACAGAAATGGAGACATTTTAGGATGCCCCAGCACAGAGACCTGTACAAAAGGAGATCTCTTTCAGGTGTGCATAGTTGTTGCTGCTTCTTGTGACTTGGAATGCAGGCCTGCTCACTGGCTTTCTGGCTCCCCTGCTGAGCTGCGGATCTACGAAAGAGTCTTAAACTTTCTGCTGTGGTTGTCACTGCTGTTGTGCCTGCCTCGGGGAATGGTGAAGGTTGGTCCCTGTGGGTCTTTTCTCTCTGGGCCTCTGGTGACTGCCAGGAATAGTGGCTACCAGCTGAGTTGATGGAGAAACTGCTCTGTCTGGGGGATGAGAGCTGGTGAGTGTGCCATGTCTCCTGGGAGGCTGAAGTTGAGGAACCAGGCGGAACTTTTGTCTGCAGCTTCATTCCTGTACATACCCTCAAATGGGATAAATTGCCAGTACAATGTGGCTCCTGTTCCAAAGTGCCACAAAAACAAACATCAAATGCAGAACAGCAGAGTTGGGGCTTTACACCTGCATTGACCCAGCAGCCTCCTGTGTACAGAGACCTCCATGTGCTACTCAGGGTGCCACACAGCACCAAGTCCTGCTGGGCTCAGGAGAGGAAGAATTGTCAGTTTCCAATGAGCTGCAGACCAGTGGGCGAGGCACTCACAGGCATGAGGGTGGTACAGAGAGAGGACCAATGTGGACATATAAACATAAATGGACAGTGGCCCAGAGTGGCCAGAAGCAGCAGTGGTAGTGGCACAGATCTCCAGATAACTTGGCACGTGGCCTGGGCTCACCGTCATGGAGGATTCTGTGGACCTCCTGTCCAATGACTTGGCTCTTCGATGTGGAGACAGGGGACAAGCATCTGAGAGAGGAGCTGTGGGGGCTTCACTGGCAAAGTCCTGTGGCAGAGAGCAGCCACCCATCAGTATAGCCCAGGGCTGTTTGGGCTGGCAGAGGGGCAACAAGTTGGGTAGTTCATCCCTCCTTGAGTGGGGTAGTGCTGTCTAGGCCCCAGAGCAGAGCAGGTTCTGGGATGACCCATGTTCTGGCATGCTTCGATCAGTGGAGCAGCCTTTTCTGGTCATCAAAGTCCTGGCCCTACCCAATTTTGCAGCTTCTCAGGTTACAGAAGAAGACAGCAGGCATTTCGTGATCAACAAAGAAACTGGAAAGAAGGAGTTGGGTACAGCAGGCCACAGAAGAGGCAGGTGGGCAAGAGGCTGGAGGAGTCTGGTAGGAGGAGGAGGACTGCTGAGGACTGAATGAGGGTACAGCTTGCCACTCCAGAAACAAAAGAAGGAAAGAAGATGTCATATTTGGCTTTGTTCCCAAGTGGCGTCAGTGGGAAGAAACTGTGCTAGTTACAACTGGGATGTAAAACCCACTGAAGCATCCTGTAGCACAGGAGGCTGATGCTGCAGGAGGGAGGATGTGGAATACAGGCTGGTGCTCAAGAGGCTAACTGGAGGAGAAGGAAGAGTAAAGGCCCAGAAGAAATGTGTCCCTGGTATGTATGGGACTCAGAGCATGTAGGAGAGTGTGTTCCCCAGACCCAAGCCATGCTGCCAAAGGCCCCACTTAGCCCCACACTGGAGCTCACCCGCTTTCTAGGGATGGCCCGTTTCTCACTGCGGCCCTGACGAGTGTCGCTTGATGGAGTGGTCATAATCAGCATGTTGGTTTCCATGTGCTCTGCCTTTTCAATGTCCAAGGCCTCAAATTTCTCAATTACCTGGGACCTCCTACAAGAGAGGACATGAAGCTGCTAAACCAGAGTCTCCCTTTTCCCAAGGTGGGCTGGGTCTCAAGTCCAGTAGGGAGTCCCGTAGTCAACTTGCACACCTAGCCTACCTCACTGGGCTCCAGTGCTAGCCTTCTTGCTGGCATGTGAGGCACCCTTCACAAAGTACTGATAGGACTTTGGGCACAGATTCAGTCTACCTGAGCTCCATTTGTTCCCCCTTCATGGTGGCCTGGAGCAGCAATAGAACCCTTCCACTCTGGGCCTACACTGTGGTCCTGCCCCAACACTGGACTCATACAGCTTGTACCTTGGTAATCTCCCTGAGCTACACACAGTAAAGATCAACCACCACCTCTGCACACACCGCACCCCACACAGAGTGGTCAAAATTCAGCAAGATAAAGACCCACCAATTAACAGTTTCTGCTAACATTAAAAGGGATCAAAATCAAAATCAAAATCAAAACAAAACAAAGCAGTTGATTTCATGTGAAAGGCCAGCGGCCTCGTCAGGTGGTCTGCGGCTGAGACGACGGAGCTGAGATGGAAGCGAAGCAGGTGGAGGAGGCGCGAACGCCACAGTGACACAGCAGAGGGTGGAGAGGGCAAGACCTGAAAGAAAACAAGGCTGGGAAATGAATGAACAGAAAAAGACTGCTTTTAAAATTCAATCATGATAAATCAAAGTTATCTAAAGAATTAAAGCAGCAAAACCCCAAGGTAATGGCTGAAGAGAGAAAACCCATGATCACCCCATAGTCTGAGGAGTCACTTTGGTAAGATTAGGCAGAAGACTAGGGCTGCCTACCTGGGGTCTGGGAGCAGATTTAAACCTGCTGGGAGGACAATCCCTTCTCACTAAACCTGAGGCCTGCTCTCTGAGGGACACCTTACTCCCTCACAATGGGGGTAGGCATGACATATTCTGAACAAGTGGCAAGGCGCTAACACTAAGTGATAAAGATCCTCCCAGGAGACTAAAACCTCTAAGAGGAAGAATTTGGCTTAGGATCTTTTCAGGGGTTACTACAAAGCTACCTTGAGAGGCCTTTTCCTCAAGGGAGTTAAGAGGCCAAGGGCAGGCAGCCAGGGTTTTAGGAGGGCTTCTGGGTGCTCTGCCTCCATGCGCAACATTGTTAGAAAACTGGTGCGGGTTAGCCTGCTGTGCTCACAGAGGACAAGGTGAGGAGACTATGAGAGCAGTAAGCCAAGCAGCTGCTGAAGTGCAACCAAGGAGTCTTGCACAGCCTGACTACTGTAGGAAGATCTGGCTATCCACAGCTCTTGGGGCTACTGCTTCTTCTTGGGCTGAGAGCAGTGTATCTGCCTAGAGGACTTCAGGCCCCAGAATAGTAGGAGGGCTGTGCCAGGTCAGGCTGGCATGCATGATATGAATTTGTAAGGTTCCAAGCAGAGTAGTCAGCATGAAAAATAGGATGCACCTGCTACAGCTGCTCAACATGGGTGCCAAGAGATGTTGTGAGGACCAGGGGCTTGGACAACTTCTGTATAACTAACTGGTTCTCTGTTGCCAAGTTGGTGTTTTTGAAGCAACAGATGCTATAGAAAGTGCCTCACTCAGGTGGAACTGACAGGTGTAGATCTCACACGGAAGGTGGGGGGCCAGTGTTCCATGGAGGTGGGGCTTACTTTCCATTAATCACTAACAGTGTTGTAAGGACCACAGCTTCCCTACACTACTTAGCAGACATGAGCCTAAGAACTGATTGTCTAAGAACTCCTTCAAAGGCTCTGAAGTCTGAAGAGCAAATTCTAAACGCAGAGCTGCTGCTCCTCTCAGGTGGGGCTACTAACTGGCCTACCAAGGTTTTCCAGAACTGACCTTGTGGTTTCAACTGCCTGGCTGTATGGCAGGTCTGTCTTGGCTACCACTCAATGCAAAGTAGCTGACATCTTATCTAACTCTTAACCTATCAGGGACAAGAATCCAGTCCAGCAGTAGGTAAACTACTTGGGTCTCAAAGAGCAACACCAACCAGTGAGATCATTCAGAAAGAGATAGTTACAGGGTTAATGTGCAGAAGTAGTCTGGGTACCAACACCAGCTGAAGTCCATCCCCACATTGGCAAAGAACATGCAGGAAACAAAGCCCTGAGACTGCATCTATCTTCTGACAGGCAGACAAGAATGCATTCAAGATTAACTTCTCTGATAAGAGTGGCCTAGCCAAGCAGGTGTATGTGCAAAATGTTAACTCTGGTCTGGCACTAACTTAAGGTATAGCTGACTCCACTGTGGAACCACCAAAACATAGCCTGTCCACTAGCCAGTGCAGACCCTCCCCTACCCACTCTGAAAACCTCCTTAATTGTTAATAAGATGTTATCCCAATGCTTAAAAGAAAATTATGAGCTCTGATCCTGGGTCCTATCATGGGATAGGACTTGCTGCTAAAGGCCTACTATTTGCTAATATTCATCATGAAGAGTGGGAAGTCACCTAATTTTTAAGCCTCAAGTTTTCACATCCATGAATCAGGAATAACAGGTGCCTTACTGAAACACTACTGGACTGTGAAGATAGTTTATTATATGGGATGCCAGGGAGCCAGTGTCTACCATCTACCTGAGGGTCCATAGACCATCTGAACAAGCTGGGTTGGGTGTCAACTAACTGTGAGTTGAGAAAGGAGACAAGAAAAAGAAAGTCCTCCCAGTCTCATCATGCTCCCCTAACACATGACTGAATTCCAGCCTACACTCAGGGAAGGGAAAACACTCAAGCTATTTTTGGAGTTGCCTTTCTGAAGAGAGAACTTTGTAAACCTAATGAAAGCTGGGTTTTTTCCACAGCAAAATAGACAGATGTGCCTCTAACCTCTCCTGGGGGCAGAGGTGGACCTTTAGAAATCTGTCTGTCTGGCGTTAGGTAAGAAAACCTGGCATGGACACAAAACCCAACTCACAGATGTGGCAGAGAATTTGGGGGGAAAGGGATAGATGACACAAGTAGAATGTTCCCTAGTCCTTAAGCTCCAAGCTCGGGACAACAGGGCAAGAGAAAAGCAGGCAGGAGCCTTATCTTTTTCAGCATAAGTGTTATATCTCTGCCATTGGTGGGAAGCCATGTCAGCGAAGCCCAGAGAGCAAGAGTACTTGGGGCACCTGGAAGCTTTTCAGGCTGCCTTTTGCATCCTCGTGGGAAGAGTCTGTGCTGCCCTCTCTCTTTCCTGTGTCCTCCAACAACTGTAGAACTGCCAGTAAAAGGAGGGCCTGTCCCTAACTACAGCTCTGAGAGTATTCTCAGAGAACTGAAGTAGGCCAAGAAAAGCAAGATTCAGCCACACAGGGCCTAATCTGGGAAGTACCAACCCAGAGCCACTGAATCCTGCATCTGATGCCAAGAGCTGAGAACTGGTGCCACAGTACGGGGCCCAGACACTGAACAGAAATCATGTTCCTGAGTACACCTGTGTGAGTATTATGTATGAGTACAAGAATTTAGCCCTCTAGCATCCTTCTTACCTCCTCTCGTTGCCAAACAGACGGGCCACCTCTTCCCTGCCAGGGCTTCGGGCCCGAGTCCTACGCTCCAACCGCCTTCTCTCCACCTGGAAGGCTTCTCGATGGCTGATCCGGATGGCCTTAGGGACGTCGGCCAGGGCGGCATACTGCCTGCTGGCTTTAAAGGCAAAGGTGCTCCCCAGTATCTCTGTTCCCCACCCCCCAGCATTGCTGGAGTCCATGTGGTTGGGTGGCCTGCTGGTTTCACCCAGGCTCTCTGGGCAGATGCTGTAGATCTTACGGCTTGGGGCTGGAAGACCTGGGGAATGAAGGGGGTGGCCGAGTTCCTGTGAAGGCGATCCAGGACAACCATACCTGCTGTGTGGGGTGCTGGGGCTGGGTGGGGAGAGTGGTGGGGGCAGCTGCTCCTCAGCCCTCAGGTCCTGCTTGGCCTTCTCCAGGGAGAAGTAGCCGCTCTCTACCCGTACTTTCCGACCACCATCCACACGGTCCCCACTCACGGTGCTTTCATCTGGAAGAGAAGAGGAAGCTTGCCCAAACTGCTGCCAGTTCTTTCACAAAAACTTTCCAAAAGCCCACACATGGTCAACTAGGAACTGTCTCAACACCCTCCATAGCAACACTCCACAGCTATCAACTGCAGCAGAGGTGGAAGGAGTGCACGTAGGCACGCAGGCAGAAATGGACCATCCACCTGTGTCACCTTTACTCTTGACTATTTCCTCCAGTCTGGTCACTTGCAGTCACACTAGCAAATAGGCCCTTTGCATACAGTTCTGGCGGGGAAGCAGAATTCCATCCTAACCAATGGTTTCTTACTAGACCACAGGAGGTAGCCAACAAACTAGACACTTTTCAGGCTCTGAGCACATTTTCGAGGTAGGGAAAAGGGCTTTCGTAGGCATGAGATGGAGCACAAGGACTTTAAATGTGGACAGGTGTGTATGCTAAAGAACTCAGATTGAGGGAGGCAGAGATGAAAACTTTAGCTCTGTTGGGGCATCACAGCACACTAAGTAGAGAGGGCACAATGATGTCGATGGCTTCCTCACTGGCCCTTCTTCCTAGCCAGAGGCTGAGCAAGATGGTATCAATGAGGAGAGGGGCCGTACTACCCTAATTGCTACCTCTCTGAAGACAGGAGGCAACTATCCTAGTGGGTTCTAAGAACGCATGTAGTAGGAGCCTGTGGGACAGGAACAGAGGCCTCCTCACAGAAGCAGAACAGAGTGTAGTTCTCCTGAGGCCAAGGAAGTAGGTGCTACACCTTTTCCCTTCAGAGGTGGGGTAGAGAAGCCAAACTGAAGCTCACAGGCCAGGAAGCCCAGTCATACCAGGCCAGTGCTGCCCAGAAATGATATACACAGAGGGAGGAAAAGTTCAGGCCTGTGACAGGACTCCTATATTACATCTCCAGTGTCATTCCTGTCCACTGGATGGAGGCCCATTCCAGCAGTACAAGATGAACCACCACAACAAGGAGGTCCATACTACTCACCTTCTTTGCTTTCTAGCCCTATTTCCCGTGGGGTACAAACAGCAGGAGGCAGACTTTGGCTGGGACTCTGAGCTGGAGTCAGGCTGTTTACATCAGGCTGGTCTTTGGCTCTCATTTCTTCCTGCCAGAGCGTGGATTTGGTGGTAGGGACTTTCTCAGCACTGGGAATGCTGCTACTGCTGCTACCGCTGCCGCTGCCACTGCTGCTCGTGACAGCCATCTTAGCAGGCCCAGGCTCCTGGAGACATAGGGGGAAGGGCAGCATATGAGCACATAGCTGAAGCTAGCTCATAGGTCCAGGCTGCTAAGTTACAAGGAACACAAGGCCAGTAAAACAGTATTGGGGGATGGGAAGCCATTCTTTCTTGATTGTTCTTTGTGGCTTCACAGTGTCTTGTCCAAGGAACCTTGCAGAGGGAAGGTCCTGGGTTTCTACCAGAGCCATGTCATCAAGCATGTAGAAGGTCTCTCTGTATGTTTCCAGACAGTGCCTAGAACAGCAGCCCAGTTATTAAGGGCAAGCCCACAGGAGTTGATTTAGAGTCTGTCATTCCTATACTCACAGGCACTTGAGACATAAACAAAGGGAGACAGGACAAGGCAAAAGAGGAGAACACTCTTCTGAGATAGGCCCACTGCCCAAAATCAATCAGTGAGGTAAATGCAGAAGGTGGACTCCACATCACCCTGTGGTCCACTCCTAAGCTTAAATGGGATACATGATGTAAAAGAGCTGTGAAATAAGACAGATGTTAAGGCCTGGACAGCTGTCCATTCACACTAGAAATCCTATCCCATGGCTGGTGTTGGTGGCACACACCTTTAATGCCAGCACTCGGGAGGCAGAGGCAGGCCAAGCTCTAAGTGTGAGGACAGCTTGATCACAGAGAGAGTTCCAGGACAGCCAGGGCTATACAGAGAAACCCTGTCCCCAAAAACAAAACAACAACAAAAGAATGCCCCCTCCAATGAAACAAAAGAATCCTATCCCATAATGATAATTTGTGGAGGTGGAGCTTTTAGGATATGGTTAAGTCAGTCCTCATGAGTGGAATTAGTACTCCATAAGAGAGGCCCAGGCTATCGACTTTGCCTCTTCCAGCGTGTGAGAGAGGACTAGGTAGTGGGCCCTCATCAGATGCTATATCTGCTGGCACCTTAACCTTGCACTTCCTAGTCTCCAGAATTCTGAGAGGAAAGAAAAACCAGTGTCTACTGGTTAGGCAGCTCCGTCTGTGACAGTTTGTGAATAGCATCAGGAATCATGTGAGACATACAACATCCCACTCAAACCTGCATACCCACACCTGCCACAGGCACACCTTGTTCTTGTGCACAAGCTGTCCCTTACTGGGAGCCCAAGTTTTCCTAGGGTACAGAAGCAACATGGCCCTGAGGGAAAAGGGTCCGTGGGGCAGGCTAAACTCAGCAGACACAGAAATCCAGTTTCTAAGTAATCAGAGTTGGACTCTTTAGACATTGAGCCCAGATAAGGACAGGATAGGAATCCCAGCTGTCCTGCAGTCCCCACTCTTGTCCTGTGCCCAGCCATTCATTCTGCTGAGGGGACTACCAATAGGATGGTGTGTATCACTATCTTGCCATAAAGAGGTGGTGAAGTAGAAATATCCACCTCCCACTCTCATCTGCTCTCACGCAGATCAGAGAACTGGGCCTGACCCATACATCTGACCCAAAAGGAGAGCTTGTTCTTTCTCCTTTATAACAGTACTCTGCCTTCTGGAGGATGGGTGAAGGTCCCCCCATCCTTGGGCAAGATCCTTTTGTTAAATCTCAAACACTGGCACAAATGGCTGAGGTGACTATTTAACATATCAAAGGCAACTTGACCTCTAGGTTATTCCAACATCCCTCAGTCCCTACCAGTTACAGGGTATGGCTGGCATACCCCACCCGTACCCTAGACTTCTCCCAGAGGCTCTTCCCTATATAATCCAGCTATTTTGGTTATCTACCTTTGGTTGCTACACCTGTTGTCCCCCCACTCCCACAGTCCAGCTCTGTCTGCTCATGTCTACTCTGGACACTCCCAGATGTTTCTACCTCTGGCTATGCTCTCCCACATATCTATAATAAACTTTCTCCACTATACCTAGGAGCCAGGTCCTTTCCTTTCCTTTTTATTTATTTGCCTTTTCTTCTGAGCAGGTAGAGAGAAATCTAATTGGGTGGATGCGGTCACAAAGGGGTATAGAGGCTCACACTGCACAGAGCCATCCTGGCCGGCACCACGTCCTCAGACAACCAGCTGTCAAGATCATGCTGTTAATACCTCGATGAACCCTGGCTGCTAGGTGTATGTACCCAGAGACTTCAATCCAAATGCAGTCCTTGTCTCTCTCCTGAGACCAACCAGAGATCAGCCATGGGGAAGAGGAGAGAGGGCCATAACACTGGTGGAAGAGGCTGGGAACTCGGTGCCCTGGTTCTGAGGCATATCCTCAGGGAAGGGGTGACTTGGGGTCATAGGGCTCTTTCTACTTGCTAGAAGGTTGGAGCCTGGCCACAGGGCCGCATCATTTGGAAGGGACAAAATCATGGGGGAAGGGACACATCCCAAATTTCTAGCCTGACCCAGGCTGTCTCCTGCACATAGGGAGTTACCTTATTTGGAGGCAGAAGCTCTGTGCTGCAGTGTTTCCAAGGCATCACCATGGAAACAAGGCGTAACCCTAACCACTGTTATTCAGCCAGGACTTTTCCCCCTCAAACCAGGCAGCTTGGGGGATTTGAGCAGGAGGCACTACTTTCAGTTTCCAGGAAACTGATTGCATGTTTTCATTTCTTTGATTACATGGTTTTTGTTGTTGTTGTTGTTGTTTGGGGTGGTTTTTTGTTGTTGTTGTTGTTTGTTTGTTTTTTTATTCTTCAAGACAGGGTTTCTCTGTATTGCTTTGGAAGCTGTCCTGGAACTCGCTCTGTAGGCCAGGCTGGCCTCAAACTCACAGAGATCCACCTGCCTCTGCCTCCCGAGTGCTGGGATTAAAGGCGTGTGCCACCAAAGCCTGGCTTTGATTAGATGTTTTAATGACTTCTAGTTAGGGGCACTGCTTTCCAGGGAAGGCTGATTTTGGGTACCCTATGGGCATCCTTGGTAAGGATGAGATACAGGAAGGATGTTGGTCAATGAAGGGCAAACCTAGGCTGTACCCTACTAGATGAAGAAACTGTCCTAGAGATGTAGGGACCAAAGCCAGCAGCCTCTGCCTGTCTCATTTCTTCAGCCCAGGAAGCCAGAGTAGCCAGCAAGGACTGTCTGGCCCAGGGCTGTCTCTCTTTGCTTCCACAGGACTCTGGCTTTGTGATGACTACAAGACCTATCTTACTCATTCTCAGGTCTAGCTTGATTTATCCAAAATAGGTCAAAACTCTGGTATGGGCAACATTTGGTACAGAGAGGAAAAGATGAACACTAAGTACCTACAACCAACCACCCTAGCAAAGGGCCCTTGCTGTAAATTCAGAATGCTGATTTCACCCTTCCACCCATGAGTCCAGAACACTGATTAAGAGTAGGAGGGGGATGAGAAAGGGGCAGTGGGAGGGAGGTAAGGACTGGGCCTGGTAAGGCTGCTCCAGCCACCTAGCTCTGGTCACATGAGTCAAAACAGGGACCCTCCAGGGCTCACCTTCCCTGTTGTTTAACCTGCTGTCTGCAGGGCCACTTCTTTCCTTTGGCTGTGGCAGAAGAGTAGACCACTCTGCCCTTCCCAGAGGCTGACAGGATGTGCATGGGAAGAGAAACATGCTAAGTGGCTATTGCTCAGTATTTGCCTGCTGGCCTGGACCTACCTGAAGACAGCCCAGGACATGGTAGCAGGCTATTCCGCTCAGTGATTGAGGAAGGGGGAGGAGGCACACAAGCTGTCTTTATCCGGCCAGATCCTTATCCACCCTCTTGCCCTCATTTCTTCCCAGGCCCAGTTCCACTAGAGGACGTGACAGTCAGCCTACCTGTGGGGTGGGTGGCTCTACTTTCCGTTTCTTCTTCTGGTTCTGCTTGTTGGTTCTGGGATACACCATGAGCATCTCTAGCCACCTGGGAAGAGGGGAGGAGAAACAGCACCAGGTAAATCCCCTGGCTTTCAGGATCCATGACTCTAGGCCTTACTGGGGTGGTAGAGACCTCAATTCCTTAGGTGCCCTTTCTGGAGAGACCTATCCAGTGCTCATACACTGAGCAAGTTACTCCAGGCCAGAGTACAGCAGCTGGGTGAGACTATAGCATACAGCAAGCCAGGAAAAGCACAGGCTGTATCAAGACTGGCCCATGACCCTTCCATGGCCAGGGACCCTCCAGGGCTCACCTTCCCTGTTGTTTAACCTGCTGTCTGCAGGGCCACTTCTTTCCTTTGGCTGTGGCAGAAGAGTAGACCACTCTGCCCTTCCTTCAGAGCGAGAAGATTTCTCTACTCTGACAGAGAGGAAGGGCTCACCAAAGGCATTACAGAATGGAGGGACATCATTGTTCCATTGCTGACCCTATTTTCAGGACCTAGTCTCAGCTTTAAAACATCCTTCCAGATCTGGATTTGGCAAGTACACAGCCAGGCAATGAATGATTGGCAGGCATTTAGGGCTGCTGGGGCAGATACTGGCCTAAAGGAGAAAACTGGGAGTTATATCAGCAAAGTTCCCATGGTGGGTCACCTCAGGAGTGAGAGGCTAATCAATCAGACCACTACGTACACAGAAAACATGCCAGGAAGCCCAGGTTTGGACAAGGATCCTTCACCAGAGTTTGCATTTTAGAAAGCCATTTTGGGCCAGCAACAGAAAACACGGAGAGGAGCTGTAGGCAAAATGTTAGGACCCCAGATCTGGTACTGCCACTATCTAACCAGAAACTTAGGTGCTCCTAGCCCCTTGCAGCACATCTCATTTCTGAGACCAGTGGCTAGATGAGGACATGTCCAGAATTTCAGAAAGATTGTAACATAAAGGATAAGAGGGTTTACTTCTGAAAGCTCACCTCAGCTATGATTAAGTGAGGCACAGCAGCTAAGCCTTCTCTCTAGACAAGCAGTAACTGCAGGAGCTCTAACTTCACAAAGCACAAGGGCCCATACTGGGTCCAGGTCTAAGGTACTGATAGTGGTGGTCACATTCTTGTATCTATCAGTACCCCCTGAACAAGAGAGGGGTCCTTGAGGTGTTTCTATAATCTGAGTTTGCTGCAGGAAAAGAAGAGAAGCATCCCATTGCTTTTTGGAGCTGTTTGGGGAGCTGGTATCTAGGGAAGTCAAGTTTTGTGCAGGGAACTACAGTTGCTAAACAAAGGACTGCTTAGCCCAGCTCAAGCCATGCCCAGGTATGCACAAGTTACTAAGAGCACAAACAAAGGCCTACTCTCTCAGAGCCACAGGGGTCCTACAGGTCACTTCTCTATGGCCCCAAAGAAAGGAAGGAGTTACATATGGAAGACTAGCAGATGGGCAGGCTTCTCAGTGAATGGAGCCACTATCCTTTTTTTCCCAGGAACCACACCGTGTCGGTCGATATATCTGTCAGATACTCAAGAATTCATGCTTGAAGGGTGTGACTCCTACAACTTTGTTAGAATCCTAGGTCAAGATTACCTCCCGACAAGGGCCCCAGGTATGTGGGGCACAGAGTAGGAGTTGTAGAACTTCCAGAATGCTCAAAACCCCCTACGTTCTGTCCATTGTCAATACCAAGGAGCCTTGGTAGGATGGAGTCATCAAGATGAACTGGGTTGCTCAACAACCTAGGGACTTGGGAAGTGTGTAAGGAAGGGAAGCCTGGGACTTTTGGTCATTGCTATTCTTGCTGTGGCCAGGGTCAGAGTTGTCAGGGCTGAGACATAATAGAACAGGTCCACATTCCTATCTCTCCACTCTTCCTCCTACTTAAACAAAACAACAAACCAAGGTCTTGCTACACAGCCAGACTGTTGGGCTGTCCTGGAACTCCTGAACCTCCTCTTGCCTTAGTATTCCAAAAATGGAATTCCAGGTATTTGCCATACTCAGCTACATGTGACTTTGTCAAGGAAGCCTAGTGGAATGTATCCAACATATTCAGATGTGTTAGAAATGTTAAGAACAGCAATCCAGTAAAGAGACAGGGATCATCTAGTGGACATGAGGTTGGTGAGAACCAAGTTTCTCCAGCTCCAGAAGGCAGAATTAGGTCAGTGAGAATGAAGAGAGTAGGCAGAGCTGATGGCAGGGCAGAAAGAAAAGAATACTAGCCTCTGGGTGAGCCAGAGAGCAAAAAAAACAAGCCCCAATCAATCCTCTGCAAAAGTTCTGTCAATATGGTCCCAGCAGCCTGAAAGTCACTCATGGCACTGGAGAATGAACCACCCACTTCCTTCAGGGAATCTGAGAGGAAAGGTAGGAAGGAAGGCTAGACAGGTAGTAGATGTCCCTGCTTTTTCCCATCTAGTTTGGTGAAAGTATTTTCTCTTTAGGAACTGTTTTTATGTGACCAGAGCATGTATGTAGGCCAGTGAGGCCTGGACTAAACAAATGGAGAGTCATGATCGCCTCAGAGAGGGCATTGAGATTAGAGGAGACAGACAAAGTGGGGGTAAAGCCCCTGTTCTTGGAACATCTGTGCCATGCCTGACTTCTGTGAGTATCAAAGATCCCAGCATGTGGGCAAGGCTAAAGAAGCTGTTGCTTGGATCAGAAAAGGTTTCAGGAATGAGGGGAGAGAAAGTGCTTCAGGTGACCTGCTATAACTATGGCCATGCCACTGACTTACCATATAAGCCGTGGATCCTGGGGAGTACTGGCCTACATACAGGATTTTGAAGTCACATGCCACTGGTATCTTGGTCAGTTATTGGTCATCAATAACCATGTCTACCTAGCAGGCCCCCATGGTACATGCCGACAGAAGAGAAAACAGAGAAAGTAACCAAGGAAGAATAAGAATGGCTTGGAGTGGAGCCAGGACCCCAAGCTGTCAGAGGGACCAGTCTCAGTCAGATGCTAAACATAACCCCTCTGAACCACATGGCATCAGTGAACCAGTTCCAGATACTCCCAACTTGTCTTAAGGACCTCAGACTCCCTTTTCAGTCCCAAATGGCACTCAGGCCTTCCCTAGATTCAAGTCTGGGAGGGTGAAGCTCCCCAGGACGACTCATTTGGGGCAGGTGTGTTGGGTCAGGCCAGGTACCAGGAGCAGTCAAGAGTACAGAGGTCGCTCACACTCAGTTGCCCCTGCTCCTGACCCTCAGATTCCTTGATATAAAAGCACAGGCTCATTAGAAAACCTTAAAAATCCTTAAATCTGATGTTTTGGGTTAAATTCAGGAAGACACACAAAGCACTCCTCCAGCCGGTGCCCAGAAGCTTTGAAAGGACAATTCTTAGTCACCCAGCAGAGGATATCCCTTGGCCAATATTGTCTGGCTTCCTCAACAGCCTCACTAGAGATACAACTGATGCTAAAGGAAGGCAATGTTCCCAATGGCCTTGTACTTACTCAAACCAGAGGGCTTCATTTCCTCAGTTCCCTCTACCCTGCGCTAGAGCCTGTTCCCCTTGACCCTAGATTGATTTCTTTGAAAGCACACTCCTGTCTTCTTCCAGACTTTATAGGATAAGTGGGGTTTCATCACTGAGGAAATACATGCATATAGATCACCTGGAGTTTTCAGTGCTACACAGGACATGTTTCTCAAAAGGGCTGCCACACAGGCTGACTGATACACAGCCTGGAACAAAAGGGCTTATTTTTATTCTGTTGAAGGGAAGGCATGAGCAGCAGCACTATGTAGCTGAGTACCAATGAGGTACAGGGTGAGGACAGGCATGTGTGTGTGGTGAGAGCACCAACCAGAGAAGAATTCTGAGAGAGACCTAGCAGCCCTGGAGTCCACAGAAATGGGTGGACAAGCAGATGGTGCCGTCTATGGCTTGGAACAACTTACCCACTGATGATCTCCTTGGTCTCTGCTCTGATAAAATGTTCCTTGTCAGGTGTCAGAATGCAGAGGGAGAACTTCTGCCCCGTGCGGGCCTCCCCATCCACCACATCGGTGCACTGGTTCATGTTGATGGTGCCCTGAGGGAGGGTGGTGGGCTGCAAGTACAAACAAAAGAGGTAGCGTCAGGCCCCACGGCCACCAGCAGTACCTAGCCTCTCCTTCAGTCCTTGGCCCTCAAAAGAAGTGGCATCACTTCCTACCCACCCATTCATGGTGAAGCAGTCCAAGCGGACTTTTTAGAGGACATTCAGCTGGATTTCACCTTCTACTTGGAGAACAGTGTTCTGGCTTGCACTGAAGAAGGGGGCAGGACAATGGGAGAATAGCTCAGTGAAGACTTCTGGGGAGAATAGGCAGCCAAGATCCTAGCCTCAGATCCACGAGGAAAAGCTTCTGAGACAGCAGATTCAATAACAAGGTGGTTTTTTGTTTTTTAAGACATAAGAAGGCAGATAGGGTAGACCACATCCCTGAGCACTAGCTCTGAGACTGGGAGATAGACACAAAATCCCACTCATACTTGCCAGAGCTTTAAGGAGTCCTGCAGAGACTTCTCAAAGGGATAGAGAGCAACATACATGCACACACAGACGCATACATGTACAGTTAAGACACCAAAATTAAGAACAGAAAGCTAAAATCAGGAAAGGAAGGCTTTGGAAGATTCCCATTGAAGTGAAGGGCTGGATGACTGTTAACCTCACAATGCCCCTCAGACACAGAAACTCTAGGAAGGCAGACCGGGTGCTATGTATCCTATCATACCAGTTTTTTTGTTTGTTTTTGTTTTTTACATTGCCATTTCCTATAGGGGAAAACACTGTTGGTCTACTCCAGAAGCCACATGTGGGTAGGCTTTGGGGCAGATAGCAACTTATCATCTAGTTACCCAAGCCTATTACCCGATGAACTTCCTTTCTTAGTTCTAAGCGTTTGGAGCAGCAGTCAGATACTTGTGTTTGGCCTGCCTCCCTCTGTAGCTCTATGGATCCATTTTACCAAAATCCCGCTGACTGGAGCTGAGGGCAGAGTTTTGTCTGGGTATGAGGCCTGGTACCCACACTGAGCTCAGCACCACCACCTTATGAGTTTCACTTGTCAAGTGCCTATTAGGCAGATCCTCTGTAGGCCCTTTCCATTAAGGTCATCAGAATGATCCAAGAGTTTCTAACTTGCTTGATGCTTGCTGACTCAGGGAGTGAGTGAGTGAGTGAGTGAGTGAGTGAGTGAGTGAGTGAGTGAGTGAGTGAGTGAGTGATGACACAGCACCAGAATAGAAGGCTCTCACCCACACAAGGCCCATGATAGCTTTCTCCCCATTGCTGAAATTGGACCCCCTAATTTGGGAGCCTATGAGCTCAAGAGCACAATTCCTGGGAAAGGAAGGGTATATCAAGAGGGCCCAGCCCAGCTTTTCAGGAGAGGCAGTCCTGCAACCCAGCAGCAGGGTTTCTTGGGGAACACTGGACAGAGAGAGTAATCTAATACCCAGTCTTGCCTAGATCCCAAGTCTGGTCACTTTCTGGATGGGGAGACCTAAGACAGGCTCCTAATCTTTCTTGTCTCTTCTTTCCAGGGCCAGTTCCTTCTAGTCCACACAAATCTTAATTACAGGCCCTCTCTAGTATACCTCATGAACCTGTTGTGGGTAAACTGTCCTTAAGAATTCTTCATCCCTGGACAAGGCACATCTTATCTCTGAGACAGACAAGAAAACTAATGCTATGGGTATTGTGAGGACAGAATGACATAAGCTGTGCAGAGAGCCAGGAGTGATCAGATGGAAGGAACTGCAAAAGAAGCCTCTTCTCCCCTACTGCTGGAACTCCATCCCAATGCTTGGGACTCAATCACTGACATCCAAGGCCAGATGTGGTGGTGCACGCCTTTAATCCTAGTACTTGGGAGGCAGAGGCAGGCGAATTTCTGTGAGTTTGAGGCCAGCCTGGTCTACGGAGTGAGTTCCAGGACTGCCAGGGCTGTTACACAGAGAAACCCTGTATGAAAAATAAAACAAAAATCCCACATCAATGGCCATGATGGATCTCATACTTATGTCAATAGATCATGAAATATGAGAATATATCATGCAAAAAGATGGCCGGGTGTTGGTGGCGCACACCTTTAATCCCAAGCACTCGGGAGGCAGAGGCAGTCGGATCTCTGTGAGTTTGAGACCAGCCTGGTCTACTTATCGAGGTCCAGGACACAGTCCAAAACAATACAGAAAAACACTGTCTCAAAAAACAAAAAACAAACAAAAAACAAAGATGTTAAGTGGGGATGACAAAATATATCAATAAAAATCCCATTATTTTCTTTTCAAGGGATTGACCTCCAGGCTGTTCAAGGATTCAGTGTCACCAAACTACTCAGGTCCCTACAGCCCTAATCTTCCCTCCTGCACAGCAAGTCTGTACTAGACACTTGACCGTGAATCAAAGACCCTGCCTTACAGCTGAGTATAATAGCCATGGTCTCAGCTCTATTTCCTTTAGAAAGGATTACAAAACGGTCACCAAAAGGCAAAGACAACCAGGCAGGCATGTGTGTTGATGTACATCTGTAATCCCAGCAACTGGGAGGCAGAAGCATGAGGACTGCTCAAAGTCTGAGCTCAACCATGCTAGCTAGGGCTAACAGAAAGACACAGACTAGGACAGGAGGAAAACAGTATTCACTGTAACTAGTGTCTTTGATGGCCCCACTTCCCCATTACTATTTTAAGGGGGAATTTACTGAATCCTGTCATATACACACAGGAAAGAACAATCAGGAAATACTACAGAAGGAAGGGGTAACTAAGGTGCTATTGTCCAATCCACTTACAGAGCTTCCAATAAGATGGGAAGAAACTGTTCCAAAATTAAATTATCTCAGTCATAGCTAATTTCTCTTTAATGCAGCTTTACAGGGAGATAATTTATATCACACAACTTACCTTCTTACAGAAAACAGTTCAATAGCCATTCAGCATTTACAGAACTATACAATGAGCCCACCCCTATAAACCTCAGGCCATTAGCCATCATTTCCCTCTATCTCCCTCCAGCCTCTCTGCCTCTGAAGTTACTCATCCAATACTTTATACAAATGAGACCACATACGTGGTGTATAGCCCGTTGTGTCTGAAGTTCCTCCTTCCTTCACCTACTCTGAAGGTTCAACATATCATAACCTTTTTGTCCAGGCTGAATATCAATCTACCATGTAGATGGGCCCCATTTTGCTTTCTCACTTCACCACTGATAGACACCTGGGTTGTTTACACTTGGGACTGTTGTGAACAATACGGCTGTGAATACTCATGTTCATATTGTTGAATGGCCATATACTTTCACTACTCTCAAGTGGATAGCTAGATGTAGGATTGCTGGGTCAAATGGAAACTATGTTTAACTCTTTCAAATGAGACACACTATTTATTGAAGTGGTTGAATCTTTCAGCTGTGAAAGGCTCTGGAGCTATACAAACAAAACCTCCCCTGTAATCCCCTGGGTGTGATGTGCCACAGTATGCATGGGTGTCAGCCTTTACCTTTCACCTTGTTTGAGACCAGTTTCTTTATTCTTTACCACTGCATGAACAAGTAATGCTTACATTCAAGTTTCCCATCGCATCCTTAGAGTGCTGGATGTGTACTACCACACCTATTTTTATGTGGATTCTGGGGATCAAAACTCAAGCCCTCACATTTGTGGGATGAGTACTTTATCCACTAGACCCTCTCTCTCGTTCCACATTACCCCCCCCCCTTTTTAAAAATATTTATTTATTATGTATACAGTGTTCTGTCTGCATGTGTACCTACAAACCAGAAGAGGGCACCAGATCTCATTATAGATAGTTGTGAGCCACCATGTGGTTGCTAGAAATTGAACTCAGGACACCTCTGGAAGAGTAGTCAGTGTTCTTAACCTCTGAGCCATTTCTCCAGCCCCTAACCCCCCCCCTTTAAACTGGTCTTTTTAATGTGAGTAACATAAATGACAGCCTTATACAGGTATTATGATGAAAGCTATTTTCCTTTTCTCAAATTTTACAGTTATTTAGTGCGCGTGTGTGCGTGCGTGTGTGTGTGCGTGCGCGCGCACGCGCGCGCGCACGCGCGCCCAGGCCACAGCACATGTGTGGAGGCCAGAGAACAAGCTTCAGGAGTTGGTTCTCTCCTTTTACCATGTGATCCTGGGGAAGTAAACTCAGGTTTACCCCATTTGAGCCACATTGTGGTCATTTTATTTTTAAAATTAATTTACAAAATAATAGGTTTCCATTTGGGGTTTTGACACCTATTTCGTTTCTGTTGATTCTCACCCCCCCACTCACCCCTGCTTCCTGCCCCACCCCTACTGTGCCAGTCTGCTCTAGTATTCCTCCTTCTGCTTTGCTCTATTGTCCCCCTCCCCTTCCCCCTTAGAGATCATTTTTTCCTCCTAGTCCTATGTGTCCTTTCTAGTTTCCTGGCCTCTGCCCACATTTCTCCTACATATATGCCAGTCAGAGCTGAGGATCTGTACATAGAAGAGAATCTTGTGGGATCTGTCTTTTTGAGCAGGGACAACCTCACTTAAGTGATGTTTTTGGTGCCATCCATTTTCCTGAAAATGTCATAATCTCATTCTTATTGCTCAATAAAGTTCTACTGTATACGTGTATCACAACTATTCTGAGACTCCATCTTACTGTGGTGAGAATGATAATCAAGAAAATGGCAGTAAGTACTGGTGAGGATATGGGGAAAGAGGAGAATGTGAGTGCAGCCACTACAGAAATGTGGCGACTTCTCAAAGAACTAATACCAAAACTCCCTTAAGACCCAGCTCTCCCACTCCTAGGGAGGTGCCCAAAGATGCCTTCCACTAGAGAGACAGCTGCACGTCCATATTTATCTCTGCTCCTTGAGGACCTCCCATCACATCCCAGTACGCATACTTCTAGGAAAACTAACCTGTGAATCCTTGATCCCCTTGTCTCTATCATCTGATTGCTGAGATTATAATTGTGTGTACCATACCTGGCCCATCCTGTTTATCATTGACCCTGGAGAGTTTAGGAGAGTAAGGCAGAAAATGGGATGAGCTGCAAAGTGAGGCT